TGAAGTCTTCGCTTTCCCACCGCCCTTGTTGTTTCGACTTCATCTGCCCACCGAACGGACGAGGTGCTCGCACCACGTTCTGATCTATGCGGTAGGAAAAAAAAGAAAGTCTTCGTCATGCCTAATCTTACCGCAATAGCCCAGACCGCATCGACTATCGTTAATAGATCCATCCATTGGTTTTCGATGCTTAACTTTCTGGTGCAATCCTCCATAACCGAATATTGATATTTAACCCTATATAATAAGTAGACGTACGTACGTCCAGGTATGCATGTATGTAAAGACTACATAGTACTCCCCCTTTATCATACAGTGCAACACGGACGTATCTGCCACATCTGCATCCACAAATGAGGACGTTGATCTAAACTTAGATTGAAGGAGACGTGCATTTGTCAACTAGGGTTAACAATCATTTTAATACATTATCGTAATCTTGAAAGTCCAGATCGTTTTTTCTTGTCCGATTCGCCCTTGATGGAGAACTTTCGCCCGTGTACTATGTTAAGCTTAGGGTAGGTACGTGTAGACAAGAGGGTTTTCGAACTACCTTCTTACTTACACGCCCCTCCCCCTGGACCTTGCAGGCAAACATGGGGGGGCAAATCTTATCATTCCCTGTTTCGTTTGCCATAGGATGTAATGCGAATGCTACGGTATCATTCTACTTGACCCTTGCAGGTGCATAACATAAGTGCTAACTACACGTACATAGTACTTCATAGTGCAATTCTATGCAACTTTTTCCCTGCCGCAGTTATTTAGGTAGGCCGTTGCTCCCCGTGCCGCGGTCCTGCGTTTTAGTGCATTAAATAACCGACTCTCTACGGTCTTGTGACATTCCATGTTTCCATTGACGTTCCATGACAGGTACATTTCGGCTTTTTTTTGATACTATGCCACCGTATTCTCATAGTTTGATCGTTCGTTCACATAAATCTGACGCGTGCTATTACGTATCCCAAATCTCCCAATATAAGATACATGGCATTATCGACCCCCGTAAATGATTGGGCACGAATGGTTGATTTTCTGAAAGACCATATCTAATAAAGGGAACTATTTGAGGCTGCTTTCAAGAAGCTCCACACCTATCAGAGCCTTAAACAGGTAGTCGACGCGTTGGCTTGATATGCAGTAAGAGTTCTGCCGCGCGCTTGCAGGGGGCGCGTTGACCGTCTTGTTAGTGCTTCACCTTGTTCTGCTTTGCCGCGACCTTACAGGCCCTAGAGGTCCATTGTTCGAGAAGACTGCCTCGCTATTGTGGCATGGGTCAGGGCCGCTACAGCGAACGCGTCTTCGTAGGACTCGAAAAGGAAAGATGAGCAGGCGTCCTTGCTAAGGTGAAATGAAAATTCGATGGGGTCCCAGTCGGGACCGGTGTTCCTGCAGATATACCATGTCTCCCGTGCGTAACTATCATTATACCTTGTCTAGACTCTACAGAGTGTTCTATAAAATAAGCTAGCTCTTATAGTATACTGTTTGCAACACTTTTATACAGTGTAAGACGTACGGGTTTATAGTAAGTACCTAGCGTAGCGTCGTCAGAACTCACCGATCAAGTGGATGACAATCTACTGTACTTTCGAAGTTGAAACTTGAAGCGGAGTTTCCCATCCTCTGCATATCCATATCTGGTAGCGAGCTCGGCTAAGTTACAGTTATTGTAGATAAGTTCAAGCGTAATAGTGTATACTACATTGTATAGGTAGGATAGATAGGATATTAGAATATTTTTCTTAGACCTTTTCTTCGCTCATCTCCGCAATCCTGCGCCTAATGTTTGCGGCTTTTCCCATTCTTCATTTCGTCTTGCGTTATGAGAAGCTACCTAGTTCGATCTCGCCCAGTCCGTCGTATTACCCCGTCCCGTACCATTGCAGCCATTGCAGACCGGATGTACAACTTATACAGTAGCGTGGTCCGCTCAATGCGCGTAGGTACGTGCAAGTGCCCGAAATGGCATTTACAAGTTAATAGCCTACGCACACGCGCAGTTTGATGCAATACTACTATTTTATACTGCTTAGCCCATATCCAAAAGTCCACGCTCGAGCCCACCCCGTTATTTTCCCCCTGCTTCCCTCCACTACATCCTTGACCGTAAAAATGCCGTGCTTCGCATGGTGCGTCTAGGTCTGCCGTCGCAACATGTAGCGGAATAATAAATAAAGGGGATCTTTGTACGAGTCTGCGAGTGCGAACAAGGGATAAGCCCGATTGCCTATGGTTTGTGCGACACCTCAGGGATGCGACAGAGGCGAACCGTGGAGCTGGGGCGCCCACCAGTATCGTCGTTTCTAAATGCCCTTGTTTAACGGTCTGCCAGGGATGGATTTTGGGGTTCGGGTTGGGTGCATGGGCAAGGGAGCGAGCACGCACTCACAAGGGGAACCCAAGTAAAGCCCTCTTGTCAAGTTGGGGGTTGAACAGGCATGTTTCCCGTTGTGGGGGAACCTCAAGCTCGAAGGTATGTGTGTAGGTAGGTATGATTATAGAAATAATACCTAGCACACCGTAACCTGAGCCAAGAATCAGATAGAGATACGTACCTACCTATTATTTACCTACCTTAAGTCCAGTATGTTAGCGCGGCAATCTAGCAATGTATAATGCCTACCAGGTAGGTAGGTAGTTTAGAATAGCTCAAGCCTTTTTTTTTCATGGTCATAGGTATAATAGCTAGAGCACTTAGGCATTATTGCGAGAGAGAAGATCAACCTTAGGTTAGGTTCATCCTGTCTAGTTTTCGGCCGGTTATTCTATCTGCCAAGACATAAAAGACACACTCGCATATGCGCACGACAGGTGAAAGATGAGAGATATGTATCAAGCCAACACCGGTCTGAACATCATCGTCCATACATACCTACATACATACGTCGTCATACATATACGAACATCAGACCAGAATATTGCATAGCTCCCGTTCTGCAGAAAGAGAGGGAGAGCTTCACGCAAGTTTCCCGAGATACATACAATACATATACATAGGAGGAATGGCTGAAACGTGCCCGGCATCTCAACGGCTCATCCGAGTCGACGGAGATGACTAATTCGAAACGAGCACGTACATTAGGGCGTTTTCAAACTCGCCATCATCACACACACTCTTCCGCGTGGGAATGCCAATCATTTCTCGAGGATGGGGTACGATAAGGAATTAGGACCGGAAAGTAGCTCAAACCGGATAGACTAGATTCTTACGGGAAGCACAAACATAGTTGTCCCATTATCCCATCGTCCCAATAGAACCAAATAACATTAGGTACGCGTAGCTAATTTGACGGCGAACTATACAAGATAGGAAAGATCGTCTTAACCCCCCCCCCCCTGAAAACTACTTGAAGAGCGTGATTTCGGGTTGGGAATCTCCGTCTAGGTCTTGTTACATACGCCGGATAGGATTCGAGCGCGGGCACAGACACCGCCTGGCGCGGTTTCGCCTGGGAGCAATCCGTATCTCGGGCTTTTACTAACGCGTAAATCGGTAGCTTCTAATACGCTTCGCTCGGCAGATATTACCCTCGTAGCGCGCATTCATGTAGTCAATGTTGTCATCTGCACAGACCCAATCCTTCCATAGAGTTGATGTTTCTGCTTATAGAAGGAATTTCAGCTCATCGCTTGGTTCAAGACGGGTCTCGATACCTAGTGTAGACAGCTAATCAACCCGGTCCTAGTTCATAATTAAGAGGATTGCAATAATTGCAAGCGTACCTCAAGTCAATGAAAGCCTCAATACTGCGCCGTACAGTTTGGTGTCGGGTTACTGATCATAGATTGATCTTGAATAACGCTGAAGCCAGAGTCTTTTTATTCACCAACTGTATTTAGAATCATTATTGTTTCAATTGTTTCAAGGATGAAGAGGAAATTATTTTATTAGCGAGCGTGTATGCATATCTGTATTATAATAAGTGTTCATAGTTCTAGTGCAGTCTTTACCATACCAACTTGATAGATGTCGTGTATCATATTGCACACCGTAAGTTTGTAGAGTACTTACCTTATTTATTCCAAGACAACGGCGCCTATCCAACCACTGTTCTCATCTGATAGTAATGATATAACTCGTCAGCCCCTATACCCTTCAAAATCAGATTATTTACTTTATGGTCGCATTGAGTAGATTGCTAGCAAACGATTCCAAAAGCAAGTTTGTGCAACTGGGACGGAGTTCAATATGCCGAAATTTATATAATGTAAGGGACAGCTATCATGAAGATGACTCGTCCCCTTTCACTTATATCATACATGAGAGTCCCACGTGGTTCGTCTCGACGCGTCAGCGTTATAGGTTTAATAGCGCACTGAATAAACTGGTTTCTCACATATAGGCAGTTTCGTAGGAAGCCTGGGAGTATCGTCATGATGGTGGTTGCTAATAGTGAAATTGTAATTAAATACGTCTTTGAACACGGTATCATGGGGGGCCTGAGAGTCGGGAAATATTAGTGTTACGCGAGGAACTCTAACTTAATCACGCAAGTCTCTTATCTTCCTAAGTCATACAATATAGCAAGATTACGCGTTTATGATTCTAGGTATCCCCTCTAAAACTCCTATAAGACTGTATATATTCCTATGTCAATGCTATGGTTACCTAACCTAGGCCCATACAGAGTTAATCATAAAATACCTCCACTCAGGGGTTATTATTGCACCAAGCCGAAGTAAAAAGGTAAGGATTTCGTATATCTGATATAAGACTAAGACATGGAAACTCGCGATCTGACTTAGGTACTCTAACTCAACACTGAATAACTCAGCACTAAGAAAGGATTCTAATATAGGGCATAATAGACAGTGAGCTGCAGTGATACTTGAGGTACTAGCATATTTCTATTTTCACTCATATCACAAGTTCCTTATCCATAACAGAGGTCTCTTATACGTCGCTTCCATGATCTACCATGTGATGCTCTGGCTCTATAATAACACACCTATCACATAGGAGCATGAGAAAGCGTGTTAAGCTCACCGTAATTAGATCACGGAGGCGTCTCAACGTTAATTGTGGCCGACCCGCTGCTATAGTAGCCTTCCGTAGCTACGATCATGTAGTTATGTGTGCCTAGCTTCAGGCCAGCTCTTTCCCACGCCGCGAAATGGTTTCCAGTGGTGACAGTACCGCCTGTACGCTTTTGTGTTCGCTACAATATTTGCATTAGCATATATTCACAGCAAAGTACGAAGCCCTCCCCTTCTAAAGGGTAATACGAAAAAGGGGGGTATGGAGATGTTACTTACAATAGACCAATACTGCTGAAAGGTTCTCGTGCCTTCGATACTTGGCTGGTTCTGATACGCGAAAGATTTCTGTGTCAGCTTCATGTCTCTATAAATCTGGAATCTTCACGGTCCTTCTTCAACCAAGTCGAAACTTACTACCAAACGTTAGCCACTATATACCTTGCAAAGGCAATTTCGAGACGATTATGTCAAGGCGGGATGTTTTCATACTTACCATATCGTGTGCTGACGTAGATATCATAGGTACCACCATCAGTTGTTACGGAGCCCTTCTTCTGTGCGTTTGAGGCCGGGTTGTATGTGCCGAAATTCTCAACGACGTAATACTCGACGAGCGGATTCTGAGTCCACCCATAGATGGCGAGATACTTCAAACAATGGTCAATACCTATAAGCCATCCAGAACAGAAATATTACCATTGGGCGGCACTCACACTGTTGCCGTTTGGCTGGTATGTCCCAGAGTACCTGATCTCCCTATCATCATACAGTGTAAGCTATGTAAAATGGAGGCGAGGAAAAAAGGATGCATCTATGCCTTACTTGGGGCCACCTGGATTCCATCCCTTACCGCCAACAAAGTTACCGCCGCCTCCACCTATGAGAATCTTTTGTTAGTAAATGGCTCACACTAATTGGAACCCGTTAAGCCGTGATGGAATTGCAAACATGCTCTTAATCGGGCCTGTGATACCCCTAAATGTGATAATGAAGACATTTGTTAGATCACCAGGTCATACGCACCCCATCTCACGCTGTATTTGCCACCTTCTTCATTAGTGTAGGTGACCTGAGAACCACCGTCGGTCCACCAGGAGTAGTAATAGCCATTATGGCGGCCTGTGGCACTGGGAGTAGACTGGCGCTTCTCGAGGAGGTCGGAGTCCGTAATGTTAACGGGCGACGCAGAAATCACGCCTGTGAGTGAAATCCACGTGACGATTAAGGATTTGAAAGAGACCATGGTGATGAAGGTTTAGGGGTTTTTCACTTTAACCTAAGGCCTGACTTGGTACTGGAATAGCAAACCACATTGCGAGTTACGCCGCTTTTATATCGTCGTCTTCTCACAGCCGATGTTCCTCAAGATATGAGGGTCGACCGGATCCTATATCTGACGATTCTGCTTGTCATAGACCATACCTGAATAAGTTTGAGGTTGCTATACCTCCAAGCCTTGGTCACCGCAACCCGAGCGCGCTGGTTAAATTCACGATGCTACGTCCAAGTCGGTATCCGCCATCCGGGATCTGGAATGATATGTAAGGTAGCTCAGAGCACTGGAACCAGGCAAGCGTCATATCAGACCTTGCCGTGGAGCCGCATTTTCAAGCCACCTTGGTCCGTTGCGGGGGGCGCCACAACTTCTAGACCACGACTAAGGTCATCGTGGGATTTTGCCGGAGGGGAAATCCTACTTGGCACTGAACGGCCAAACCCGCCGGACTTGGTATGCTCTTCTTAGTGTTCTGGGCATCGTGACAACAATGGAGTCATTGATCGAGAAAGCTAATCGCTTTAGGAAACTACGGTTACGATCGTCCGCAGAGTAAGGCTTTAAGCTCACATGGACCGGCTTGGCCGGATGAAAAGAGTCGGCAGCCCGGTTGAGAATAGAGGCTCGATTGAATGATCTAACCTCGAGATAGAGATCAGATTATTGAAAGCTCGCATTGATAGGTGATTGATTCTTCACTATTCCATAATATTAACATACTAGAGACCTATAGACTTTTAGACATAAGATACCTTGTATACGTGTCAATGTTTAAAACGCGGTAAGACAGCGGTTTCCAACGAACAGGCTTCCAACCCCAGCATTGCCATATGGTGACAGACGCTTTTGGTCTCCAAATAATAGGCCCCGGAGACAGCATAGGTATACTTCTATTACCGCGATCACAAGTTGGCTTAATCATTCGTCTTCTCTGTGTCCGAGAGCTAAGTAGGCTAAGGTTTGCCAAGTCAATAGAGGTCAGGACAGCAAAGCACGCGCGAATGAGGTTGGCACTTCCTCATGCTGTTGAGCCGCTAGTTATTCTTTTAATCTATTTTTTTGACGTCTTATGTAAGCCTTTAGATTTAAGGATTTTAACTTATCAGCGCCGAACTCATAGTGAGGGCTTACCTCTCAGACAGTGTGGCTTTTTTTTAGCCATGCGACTGTCGTTATCTGCAGCCACCTGTCAAAACTCATAGGTCGAATTACAGCTCAGACCAGGCAAAACCATATGGCATCTAGGATTTCGGAACTTTTGTAGATGATGAGAAAAGTGGCGGACCTCATACCGAGACGTACATAAAGCTAGCTAGGTAGACCGCCATTAATCGCGACTCTTCTTCGTCCGAATCTGGTAAGTGCCGAATCAGCCAGTAATGCTGAGCTGGGTGAGCAGCGCAATGCTGATAGTGAAGGCAGACACGGTGGCGTTCGAGCTTAATATGTCTCATCCGGTTCATGCCGCATGACTGTCTTGGCCCTCCTCTGATACTGGGAAAAAAACGCACTAAGACTCAGCTCTAAGTCTTGTGATACTGCTTTAGATCCGAATCAGAGCATTTTTATCGCCCCCATAAACCACACTGCTTATATAGGAAGAAGAAAAAGAAAAGAAATAAAACCGACTAAAATACCGTGTCCTGAATACCAGGTAGCTTTACATAAAGGGGCAAAGGCTATAGCGAGCCTCGGAGCCGACACTTATGTGTAACCTTAACTCCGTAGCTGTAGGGAGATACAGCGTAGGTCTTACTATCATGACGAAATATTGACCATTGGGTTGCACATCAGCCCACACGAGGTCATTCTCGGAAGCCCGACCCTTTGGATAGGCATCTCAAGGAATTACTTCTCGCACCCTGGGGTTTCCACTGGTAAAACGTTGGTGGCGTGTAACGATTTATATGTGCGTTGGTAGGAAACGCCCTGTCCCAACAGAGCTCGTACGGTACGGGAGAATGCGGCCGCCTCCCGTATTACATACAACACGAGGGAAAATCTCAGCTTCGGAGATAGTGCTCTACGTCAAAGTCTTGGTTCTTTTTACATTGTTTTGTTACTTTTCTTTTTTTTTAAAAAAAAAATTAAAATAAAAAAATATTAAGACTAGGCTAGGCTGTTGAGATTCTTGAAAAGTTCCGTTCGTCCACAGTACATTATTTCAATCGAGATGTCCTCAGTAAGCCCGCTGAACTGCCATAAAATACTTACCTTGGCATTTCCATAGGTACCTAATGTAAGGTCTTTATCGTGATACTCATGTAATGAGAATGAATACGTGTATAGTAATCGTCGGTTCTGGACATACACGTCGGACCGGGAGTTTAGTTCTGGATTAACTTCTGAGCGACCAACGGCAAGTAGAAGTAGGAGTAGATCGTATGTCGGGCCTGGAAACTTTTGCTTCTTGATAGTTTCGAATAGACTTCGCTTCATCGTACGCCCTATTCCCGTGAATAGAGATGGAATATGCTGTCATAATACAATACCATCACCTCGGCCCTGTCTTATTCTAACTATAGTAAACGAGAGGCACGTATGTATTCGGACCTATGTGTATAACCGAGCCGAGTTCCTCCGCAGGGTTTTTTGATCCCTAATCCGAGTGAATCATGGGATCGAAGAATCGTCAATCTTCTGAGGCGAAAATAGGTATAAATATGAGGCTGATACTGAAGTAGTCGGCCAGTGAAGATGGTTGGATTAAATAGGGCGTTGTAAGGGCGATTTTATCTTCCAAGCATCGATATCTTCGGTCTATACGCATCAAGCTGACAAGAATGGCGAAAGGAGCCCCTCATATCTTAATTGTAGGTGGTGGCCTGGGCGGCTTGCTTCTCAGCCAGACACTGCGTAAGAACAAGATTTCTTTCGAGGTTTTCGAGCGCGATTGCAGTGACAATATTCGAGTTCAGGGATGGGCTATCGGTCTTCACACGTAAGTAACATCCAATGCTATAAAGAAAGGCGATGATGCTAATCAATGGCTACCGAAGCATGCTCGATGAGCTTGATACATCTATCCCCGATGACATGCCATCGCGCGACTTTGTAAACCATCTGCTACCCCTGAAATATAACTACGAGTGCGCATGGTATAGACACGACCGCACCAGGAAACTTGGAGTACGTGACGACGGTAGTGGGAAATTTATCCGTGCGAACCGCGCTCGACTTAGGAAGTGGTTGGCAACGAACGTGCCGATTCGATATGGGAAGCATGCTGTACGCATTGAAGAGCATGATGATTTAGTAACGGTACACTTCGAAGATGGGACTTCAGCTACCGGAGATATTCTTATTGGAGCGGACGGCCCTTATAGCCCTAGTAAGTATTTGGAGAACCCTGGACGGTGATAGATCTGCGTGTTAAGTGATCTCTAGCTAGGAAATACCTCCTGGGTGGACAGGATGTCATCCGACATCCACGCCAAGGGATAATAAACGGAGAGGTCATCCTACATGGACGCGACATGGAGCAGCAACTCCAGATGGGAGCTTCTTGCTATCTAGTCGATGCTAGTTTAACCGATGAATCTCCTTCGTTCTTGTTCGTCGGTCTAAGCGAGGTGTTTCCCGATGGGAAGTCTGGCAGGTATTTCTTTAATCTGTTCTGGCGCGACGAGGCGGCGACGAGGAAGGGCTTTTGGACGTACTCAGCCAGCAGCGAGAAGTTATACGAGACAGCGCTGGAGAAAACAAAGCATCTGCCGCCAAAATTCAGATCTATCATAGAGAAAACAGGACCTGAAGGAATGAAGAATCCGCCGTTGCGATTCTATACGTTGATTATGGACCCAGACTTATTACCTAAGGGAAGGATTACGTTACTCGGGGATGCTGCGCATTGTATGCCGTCGTGTAAGTGACTGCGATCATCCTAATAACTGGAAGAAGAAATTAACAGGGCAGGTCAGTTCGAGGAGAAGGAGGTTTCCACGCCTTGCTAGATGCGCTCGAGCTTGGGAAGGTCTTAGCGGGACTAAGGACAAATAGTACTGACGAGATTAAAAGGGCACTTGGGGACTATCAAGATGAAATGCTCGATAGGGGATCGAAGGCCGCGGCGTGGTCAACTATTGCGTTTGACGAGGCCTGGAGTGGTGACGATGCTGGACCTCGTATCATCTGGGGTTTGCCTGTAGTTCCTTTACCCGACGAGAAGATCACTCTATGACGGCGGCATTATCTGTTGCTTGGTATATATTGGTATGTAATTTTTTTTATCGAGGCAACCGGCAGTCAGATTCTGACTTGTACCAGGCCTAGAAAGACATATTTCCGGATAATATGACATTATTCATAAGTACAACTGTCCCAACGCTTTTGTATCCAGAATAGACCCTTGGCCCAGTAGATATCTGATAAACATCCTCAAAATGAAGTTTCTGATAACTTAAACAGCTCAGCTAGGCCGTCGCTTTATAATGTCTCGTATGTCTGATCAGACAGATAATAGGCGTGTCGAAAGAAAACTAGGAAGAGTCAACCAGAGTCGGCTCAACCAACACCGGGATGTTTTTCTCATCTAGATACCAGGAGCACTGTCGCAGGCATCGAAGTTAGTGTGAACTGCCAATGTATTCAGGGGGCTATATGTATGAAAGGATAGGGTACCTATGTAGGTACTTACCACACCACTACCGCCGCAAGTTCCTTTCATATTCTCTCCGATGGCGAAATGCTGCGTTCCGGCAAGGACCTTGTAATAATCCTCTCCGTTAGCTGTCTTGTTAGCCGTAAGCGTGAACTTGACGTCGAAGTTCTCGGTTGGCGACGCATAGTCGCTATCTGCCTTAAGAATCTCGATGGTCCACTTCGAGATAGAACCCGAAAATGCGGTCTGGTTCCCTCCTGTAGTGCAGTCGACGGTACGCCCGTATGGTTCCTCCACGTACCACGTCCATTCCACAGTGCAGTTAGCCGTGCTTGGCTCGAATGATGCTCCTGGGCCCGCGGTGATGGGGCTGGGGTTTGTGATAGTGGCCCATAGATTGGCGAGGTTGCTGTTTCCCGGACGACCAGAAGGAGAGAATGTTGATAATCTGGTTACTTCCCATGGCTTGAGATCTCCATCAGACGATCGACGTTGCGTAGATGAGCTGCCTAGAGCGACGAGGCTGGCAAGAGCAAATAACTTGAAGTTCCACATGATGTCGTGCGATATATAGGTAGGAGGTATAATTTGTTAGGTACATAAAATTGATATACGGAATCGGTATGTAAAATCTGTATGTGAAATCTGCGGATTATGGATTTGTTTACTTCAACTGAGATGAGTTCATCTAGGAGAATTAACAGCTCGACTATTTTATACGATTCTTTGCTCGTGCCGTAGGAAATGGTTCGTTATTGTCGCGTAACGTTTGCTTACAGCGTTGCAGTGGCTGATCTAGACCGAGCTTATTACGAAGGTTTGGGGCGGAAGGATCTTGTAGCCAAAATCTGTCACCCTAGATCTTGAATCGGTTAAAGTATCGCGATCGAATCATTGATTGCTTGGTATGGTACTTCACTGAAAATTCTGCATTTCAATACGAGATATGCGACCAATAGTAGTAGATGTTATTTTTAACACGACGCATACGCATACGCATATGTCGTTAGTTGTGTCTTATTTCTTCCCTCTGAGCTGCCGGCACGAGGTGTAAAGTAGCTTTGGTTCAATCGATTGTATAGAGCTGAATGAACTTTACGATACCGACGTACTTATGCATCTACCTTAAACTTAAGGTAATTCACTTTTTAGTAAAATCGTTGCTAACATCTACCAAAACGCCGTGGCAATGTCTTTAGCGGGCGTAGCCATACGATCTTAGGCGCCCATACTTTATCTCGCAGGTCGACCAGAAGGGGGTCTTGGTCCGAGCTCGTCGGGCCATGCGCGAAACATATCACGAAGCTTGTCAAATGGCGCTGTCATGAGGCCGACTACATTCTCGTATGGTGGCCTATTTGGTGTGCTTGGGTGGCTACGCGTTGGCGTGAAGGATTTCCTCGTCTCGAACTTCTCAGCCAAGTCTTTCGACCTTGACGGCAGTAGTGCCTCTTCCAGTTTAACCAGGTCATGTTCCTCCTCTTTTTTGATATGCACCTTGAGGTCTTTCATTAGCGCCTCGAGGGTTGGAATGAAATCTTTGTCAGCAGGGGTCATGTTCTGGAATTTATACAGTGCTTCTTTGGTCTAGATAGGGAGAAATTGTTAGTGAATCTTTTTCGACGGAACATTTGACGAAGCCAAGATGACTAGTATAAAAAGGCGTCATACATACCGCTTGATGCTCTGCTCGATCCTTCTCAGCCATCTCTTTCCCATTGTTGACACCTGTTTCAATCGAAGGATACACGACTAACTCCTCCGCTATGGTATGTCTCGATAGCTCCCAGACAAAAGCGTTTTGGTATCGTCGCTGCGTATCACGATCGCTTGCATTGATAATCTTGTCAAAATATTTCTCGATTTGTCGGTGATCGTGACGGATCACCGCCGAAATGCTGTCTGCCTGACTAAGAGTCTGGTTTGGATCCTTTGGGGAACGGTTGTCTGTAGTCATGTGCGATTTCGACCCCATCAAGCTACTCGAGACAATCGTATCGGGATACGGACGTACGAAAGCGACCGAAGCTGTTGATGTAGATGATTGCCAGGCATTGACGCTCTTGAGCCGTGCGAGTCGAAGCGATTGGCGTAACATCGTGAGAGAATTTGAGCGGTCAATTTATCGTTACTCTCTACCGTAAAATGCTAAGGGACATATCCGCGACAGCTGAGAATCCATGAAGGTTGGTGACCGATATTACTCACGCCCATAGGTACCTAACTTATCATCGCGTCAAGGATTTTGACGAATGATGGTCGTCCCCGTCATTAAGACGTATTTGAAACTTCCAGTTCGATCCATTGAAGCGCGATGACGAACAGCGGCAGTCAACAGTTCGCAACATGGAAAATTGTCATAACAGGTACCTAACCTAGGTACCTACCTACCTAGATAGGAGGTAAGTAAATAATTAACGGTATCGCGTAGATAAGGGGAAGAGGTTATGATGATGATGAATCATAGACCGCGAAAGGGGATTGACTACAATCTCTGTTATGTGAATTAGTACCTAAAGTAACCTCCAACCACCCCACGATTCAAATAACACCGAATATGTAATTATGAAGCACGGAGATAACTGCATTCAGGGGGGAAAATGTCAGCAAAGGAAAATAGTTTTATCAATTTTATAAGAATTAACCTCCTCATCATCGCATTCCATCATCATATGTACCAAAGAATATATATACCTATATATGTATATCCATAATCGGAAAGAATAAAATAAATGTACAGAATTTTATTTTAGCGCCAAGTTCCCTCGACAGTAGTGGCTGTCGATCCGCACGAGTTCGGCACGGTGTACGAGCGGTTCGGGTCACTCTCCCATGAGACCGCCCCGTTGCTCGACACCTTGACGAACTTATACTCGAACTTGCGGCCCGGTGCGAGGCTCAAGGTGAGCGTCCACAGGGGCTTCGCGGCGGTGTACTGGGCTGCCGACAGTGCCGGCGCAGCCGCGACATCCCAGTTGCCGAGCTCGGGGATGGAGCCCACAAGTTTAATTGTTTCCCCGTACGTTGTTACGACGGCCTGGTTGAATGTCAGCGCTACTTTACTTACGGTGGCGGTACACGTGGTGCTTGTTGTAGGGGCCGCGGACGAACTGGTGGCTGTGGATCGCCTGGTCGTAGTCGATGCGGAACCGCCGTCGGCAATAGCAATGTCCGCGCACGACAGGTACACCTGAGGCGTCTGGAAAGAGTTCCACTTGAACGAGAGCAGCGTGTGGTTGGACACGTAGTCTGGGATCTTGATCTTCTTGGTAACTGTGTAGCCACCTGCGATGGTCGTGAAGCATGAGTTCAGCGCAGCCTTGTCGACACCCTGGCACTTGGTCTGGTCGCCGTTGTCGAATCCGTTGCAAGTGAACCAGTCGTTTCGGTAGCACGCCTGGCCCTGCTGACAGTCGGGGTTATATCCGCAGTCCTGGCCATCAACGTCAGTGCAAGGGAGGAGACCCTTCTCGAAGCAGTCCTCGGCCGCCTGCTTCTCCTCCTCGGTGGGGAGATAGTTGGGGTCGAGGAACTTGTCAACAATAGCCTGGTCCTGGCAAATTCGATAGGCGAACATTCCGCCGTGGTCGCCGTTGTGGTCGACGCACCACTGAACATCGACAACATCTCCCGGAGAGTACGTGGCGACGATCTTGTTTCCCCAGTCCGCTGAGGGCTGGTTGTAGTCGAAGCTCACACGGGCGTTGTATCCACAAGGTCCGGAGCGGCCCACCTTTGCCACATCGACATCCGGCCAGGCTGTGACCGGCTCGAGAATGGTGCATTCCGGGCAAGTATCCTTTCCAGACTATGCATATCGAAGACAATGAATCAGTCTCGTTGTAACCCCAAAGCTTATCATGGGAAATAGACCTACCTCCGATCCTTGGCGAGTACGGCTGGTGGGGATAGTCAAGTACCCGTGACCGTGAACGAGGGTGATGAGGCCGGAGCCAGCTAGCGCAGTGATAGCTTTCATCTTGAAGTGTCCCAAAGATTGAACTGATGTGAAGTCTCAAGAGTGATAAGAAGTCAAGGAACGAAGCTGAAGATGGTAATCTTGTGGTTGCCGATGCTCATGAAATCAACTTTACAGCTCGTCGATTTGATGATATATATATATATACTCGTCGACACGATACCCTCGGCGGCTGTAACGCGGCATAAACCTGAGTAGGACCGAAATTTTGAATGGGAACGGCGGAGGAAGCCATTGCTAATATCGTGGCGCTCGACGATATACCGCCGAGGTCATCTCCAACTTGCCCGCCTTCGCTGCTACGCTATAGTTATCCACTGGGACGATATCTAGAGTGTGGGGAAGCAACCCCGGATTATAATACTGATTTAATGCATGAGCCCAGGCTATATGTAGAATTCGCTCTGGGGCGAAGACCATCCTGGGTCCTGGGTCCTGGGTCAGTTCCTTCGGATAGGAAACTCCACAATTACAGGGCATGTTTGATCTGGGGTCAATTGGAGTCGCTTGGAGTCACTTGGAGAGCCCACCAAGCATTTCATCGTTCGATAGCCCTGGTGCAAGGCCCAAATCTATTTGAGCCGGTCCGAGAAAGCGCCGGATCACACTTTTCTATGGTTGGCTCTCTGACCGGCGGCTCTTATGTTATTGTCGATCATTTGATCGCATTGCCAGCATTAAGCCCCATCGGCTTCCGAGTATGTGAACGAATCACCAGCTGGGAACTCCGCTGACACACTCCGCCGTATTTATTAAGCCCCTTAATAGATGAGTTATACCTAGGTAGGTACCTAGGTTCTCTAAGGATCTGTGACAACTTCATTAAGTTAGCAAGTAATCGACCGAATTGCTATCTTAAAACACAAAGAAACGGGGAGAGGCGGGACGATCTGAGGCGGAGCTAAACATCCCCAGGAAAGCACATATTTTTGCAATGCCGATATTATTAACAGACTCGCGTATGGCGCCCCTTAACCATACATTCTTCGTTCCCTGTGACATCATAATCGTGAAGGGTTTGTCCGAATTAACCTCCTTTTTCTCCTATTCGTTTCGTGTTCCTGCGTTCAGGCGCAAACGGTCAAGGGGTCAGGTATCAAGCTCAAAAAATCCAGCAAAGAAAAAAAAACGAAAAAAAGCAGAAGCAGAACTCATGAACTTTTCCTCCGGCTATGCAATCAACAGGAGGGGCATTCTCTACCCAGCGCATCACTATCGTTGCCTTATGCACAGTGGTCTTTTCCGCCGTAACGACTCTCTAAGTAACACTTGCTTGCAGACTTAGCCACCCGACCGCCCACACCTCGAGATGAGCAGCCCACGTATCTTGACGGTTTTCCCTGCCCATACCGCTTCTACGTAAGTGTAAGGTCGGAAAGGTTCTTTGTCACTGCTGTCTGGTCAACCTCATCCGGCTTCCACACTGCCTCGATGATGCTCATGCGGCAACCCTTCGGTCTGGTGACACTCTTCGAGAATTGAGTTAGTATGCTAAGTTAAGTCTTTGGTTTTAAAGGGGATGAGGAGATACTTACTTTGAACACGAATCCGTCTCCAGCTATTTTGAATAGCTGTCTGAAATCCTCCTCCCCACGCTCCTGCGCGTTCAGCAAGCTCAACATGACAAGGTCCATGCTTCTGATCAGACGTTCATCCCAAGGGTTCTCCATACCAGGCTCTCGGAGGCAGTGGTCGTTGATGATGATTCGTGCGCCAGGCTTCAGGGCTGGGATTAGGTTGCGGAGGATCTGGACGGCGTAGGGTGTCGAGTAATTGTGCATGATCCATCGGAAGAAGTACACATCGGCGCCGCGGACGGGCTGCTCCTTGAAGAAGTCGTGCGCCTGGAATTGGATGCGCTTAGTGATCTTAGCATCTGCGCAGATGGGCTTCGGCGCGCTCTCGACGGTGCTGGGGAGGTCCTGTACCACGAACTTGATGTTGTTGTACACCTTGGCTAGATGCACATCGACGAAGCCATGACTACCTCCTACATCGACCATAGTTCCACCGCGGGCGTTCACATCTGTTAGGTCGCAGCCTTCCGATAGGTACCACAGTTCGTATCCTTCGCCTCCTGTAAGGCTACTCATAGCCTGTGCCATGCGACTGGCGCGCTTGGGGTCCTTTCCGATCGTGACGAACATAGGCTCCAGGTTTACTGTGTTGAAGGCGAAGTTGAAGCCAGTGCGGGTAAGGCTTGTCGCTTCGGGATATGCTTTCAGGGCATTGATTACCTGCGCGGATGCAGGGTAGACGCCCTCTGTATTGAATATCACCCAGGATTGCAATTCCTGGTCCTCGGCTAGAAGTTTTGATGCAGCCGTATGCGCAATTACGCCGGGCTTCAATTCCTGAAATACGTGGTTCGTCATAGCATGTCGTAGCACGCGGGCAAGGTTGATCGGGTCAAGAGGCGTTTTGGCTTGGAGCTCTGAGAGCGTGATGGAACCGTCAAGGGGCACAAGTGCCGCTGTAATATATTGTCAGCATTTCACGCATGAATATATGGTTATAGCCAACATACGGATCCCAAAATAGTTGAGAAGCTGTAGGCTCTGGGTGTTCATGAACTATTTCGGTAGGTCAGTTAATGATATATATCTTAGCGATGTATATTTTTATTAAGAGATTGCAGGCAGTAGGGACCCGGAGAGGAACTTACGTCCCAAGCCATCCATCGAACCGACTCTCGGGGACCAACCATGAGATCATGTAGCTCTTGGGTGGCCTGAATGACCTCTCGTCGGCTTCGGGAAATGTCTTCTGGCATGAAAGAAAAGTCGCCGGGCGCATGCGCATCAAAGCTTGGAGTTGCTAGGCCGTTGACTTTAAAGTAAGCCTCTACTTTCTCTGTCTCGGAGGTGATTTTCTGCGCGAGCGCAATCATCTTCGACGACGCCATCGTTGAGGGAGTATTGTTTTTCCTTTGGGAATTTGCAATTCGGGAATTGTTGTTGTTGTAGGTAGGTTCTTCTCTCTGGAGCTTCTGCTTATGGCGTTTATTTTCTGGTAAACTAGGTGGCAGGTCGACTGTGTGCCTAACGGTCTGTCTTTTGGGCTCTTCATTTGGAGAGGTTGCCATGGGCGGCGAAGTTTGGTGGAGCCAGGCAGCCAATTTACGTCTGACCATTTTGGCTCCCAGGTGATAACAACGACGATAACACTTGTGATAATAAATCCTGCCTAGGTCCCTAAACCCCCCAAAAGTTGCAACGATAATAAAGTAGACCGCCAACGTGAACGTAATTACATATAATAACAAGTATAAGACATGGAACAATGATAGACTTAACTAACAGGAAAAGAAAGAAACAGATTATGCACAGCCAAGAATACGCAATGCTGTATTATTGGCAATATAGATCGGGTAGATATGAAAACTTAGAAAGTGAACTTGAGCCACACAGAGCAGGAACGTTTAGTCTTTTATAAACTCAGGGGTCATTATAAGCCAGCAACGTGGTGTTGATGTTGTGTAAATGAACCCCAGAGCTTTATGTATCTTGGAAGAGGGAGACAGACCGGGGTCATCAATATTGTATTACTTCTGAGAGGTGCTTATTACCCGGGACAAGTCGGTGCCAGGATTCGAAGACCTTAGGTGAACGAAATCAAACCAAAAGATCCATACACCCTGCTAGCAAGAAAGTCAGTATTCTCATTGATTTGAGTTTATTCTCTTCCTGAAGTCCTCCGTTCATTCCCCTTGCACAATTTCCACGAACGGTCTTCCTCTTTTCAGATACAGCACATGTATCGGCTTCGACCGAAGCCCCGCAGTGAGGGAGTCAATATGCTGGATGCTGCATACCTAAGTAGGAGCCTTTTAACCTCCTCCCTTTTTTATGAAGTGGTTAACTCGGCCGTTGGCTAAGTTGGCAAGAGGAAGCGCTACCTATAGACGGAATTATGCCACCAAGGTTCAAGGTTTGGCGTTTGATATAGTGTCTTCCCCAACCAATATGAGCTTCTACCTGGAATAGATATATGTCTTGGAACGACTGGTCACAATTAACATAAGACAATTTCAGGGATCTTCCGGACCAGGAGACTGGTTGACAGCTACCGGTGACTTGGTCTTGGGTCCAAGAGGCGTTCGCTTGTGGTGTGTGACACAGCAGACATGTGAAAAAGAACCGTGATTTCCATTCAGTTCCGGTACAAGCAACCGGAGAGACGAGGGCGAGAGAATCTGTGCGCGCGTGTATTGTCTCTGTAGTGGTAAAAAAGATTGGAGGAATCCGTCGAGCGAGGTAGGATCGCGAGAGACACGCAGCGCCTAGGCGGCGATTACTTTTCTTCTAAATTTGTATAACACGACGTGTCTTAGGCTATAGGGACCCAATGACTCGGTTCCCAACAACTAGAACGATCGGAATCCCGACGACCTGGAAAGCGTCAGGGAAACTAGGTCCAATTGCAGATTTCGTTATGTAACTACCCTTCCTGGATGGTTGTGTGTGTTGTTTAGCCGTCGTGCGGACCTGCTGTGGGCAGTTGAGCTGCAGTTATCCTTTTCTTGCCCGGGTGTCTGCACCGCAGTGGGCTGTAACCCCTGTACGTTTGTGAGCCTGTCCAGATTTGTGTGTTGCTTCTACCTAGTTTACTTGCAGTTGACGATGCTTAATATTAGGTTTCTTAAAGCCACTTGGGTATCTATGCAGTTTCCAATGAATATCTGACGCCGATTGCTCATGAGCGAAGACAGTAAAGCCGTCTAGACGGGTAGTTCATTTTGTGGGTTCTATCCCCCTACACCTTGTCCCAGAGCCCAAGATAATTCTGATGGGCTTATGAACGTCCTATAGAATTAACTCTTGCTAAGTTTATATAGATAAATTCGTATGCACCTTAGAATAGGTACGTATTAGCTGCCCGCAGTACTGTTTTCATTGAACCATACTGTCGAAGAAGATGCACGTTACCTAGGTAGTCATTTTCACATGGGTTTGAAGTATGTTGGTCCCTAGTTGACAATAATCAGACTGGTAATGGCATGTATGAAGTTGAACTAGGGAAAGGAACATTAGATATCTTAACTTGGAGAACATCAACACGGTTAGTCCTGGATTGCCTTGCCTGGTGACCAAAGCAGCACCGGTGCCGCGATTTCAAATCCTAGGGGAGCTGTGTATATCCAAGCACGGCAATGAGAGGTGACATGTAGGTATACTTACTAAGCTAGAACTGAAATAACGGTTCTTTATCGGTTAGATCTCATCGGGGAAGTTGAAAACTTACCTAAGGTAGCTTAGATACCTCTCATAGGCTTTACTCATAACGCCTATGGGACGTAACTAGATACATACCTCATACTTCAGACTCACAAGCCTAGGAAATATGTATCTCAGACCATAAGACTCCGAACTCTTAAAGGCAAATATAAGTCATAGTATTATGTTCAAAAAGCCATGTGAAGAGTCCTCGGCATGTCCTAGGGTGTATATATACTCGACTGACCCTGAAAGGTGCCAACTACGTCACCAACGGCAACATATTTCATGCAACTACCTGACTGGCGCATTATTCAGCGACATCTGAATTCCATACCGAACAAGACCGGCGTCTCTGAGTATCCTATGTTGATATCACAACAAGCCGTAAAGTAACCTGACGTTGCGGCAACTTCGCTGCAGCCAGATGTCTACTCTCACCATAAGGAGCGTATGGTAAGAGAATAATTGGACTACCTGCCTAATCACTCAATATAGCCTTAATTAAATTCTCTAGTTCGTTTAGCTAAGTAATAGAAATTATCGTGTAAGTTGCCCCTTACATGTAAAATGCAATGAACCCCGGGACGCAAAACCGCCTTCATATATGAAACGAGAAAACGAACTATTAAAACGAGCTATTATTTACTTGTAACGAACCCAAAGCTGTTACAACCAACCGCATTCTAAATTGATGGTAGATATATTGTGATCTTTTACCTAACCATTGTTTTGGCATTCTATTGCAGCACCGCCTGAGCGTATATTAAGTGGCTCACCAATTGCAAAGCTTCTACCTCAGGAGGTATTATCAATGTAAAGTAATCAAGACAATAAAACCTCTCTTATCAAAGGCCACCGCACTATTAAGCCCTTGGAAAACGATTTGTCAAGTACCTTATATGGTCTATTGCAAAAAAAAAGGGGGGTATGGTATACGAGTGGCGCTGGCGCCGGTTCTCTGATTGGGTGCTATGGGAGGCCGTTAGGATTTGTCACGCCTACAATGCAGCCACTGACAGTTGTTCCCCTCGCCAGTCAAGATTCCCCTTCTAGCAGAATGCGAGTTATGTGTGCCAAGAGATAGCACACGCTGTACCCGTAGAACTTTAGCACCTCCAAACTATCACCAGGTCTGCTGTTCGCAGATGAGTCGCACAGCAGATACCAGCGCTACTACCACCTCGTAGCTATGCCGTGGAATATTTTTCAAGACCCAACAGCCATGGGACATGAGCTGGATGGCCTGGAAAGCTGAAAGAATTGAGAATGTCGCTCCATCATCTGGATTTTTGGTAACTTTCTTATCCACGTTCTACGGCCAATTCGGGCTCATATTCCCGTGTCCCGCCCGGTTTTACTAGGGGAGAGGAGGGCCGGAAGGCGTTGAAGCATGTTTGCTCCCCCTTTTCCCATGTTGCCGTTTGCAAAATCCACGTCATATTTATTCGCGTTCTATCGTCAATAGCGGCAACTGTGCGTATGTGCGCGGTTACTTGCCTGACGTGACAGCGGCCGTTGCTGCACGGGGCTCGTTTTGGGGGTTAGGAACGCTCACTGTGTACTTGTGTATGGGGTTGGTGATGTTATCGGCGATTCTGGATCTGGATAGGCGAATGCCACTGGGCTTGGGGGTACCTACATTTACACGCGGTGACGAATCATCATTCGGAGCTTCGAGGCGTGGCTTTTGATTGCTTCGGGAGTATGGCTACCTCTCGAGCAATCCCGTTGCTGTCCGTACCCAGCCAGAAATTATAAGCAAACAAAAGGGATTCCTGAAGATTTTGCGATATATGGTCGGGGTGGGGGAAGTAAGAACTTAATCGGAGTGAAATATGATATAATGTTAGTGATAAAGTGTGGTGAGAGAGAGGAACGTTTCATTCCCCGTGTGTATGTCGCGCGTGTGCAGACTGAAAATGGAGAGAAGATCGTTTGACAGGTTTCCGACGCCATCGGGTGTTACCCCTGGTAGGCACATATGATAATATGTAGCTTGCATCGCATGTGATAAAAATATTAATATATACTGTTTTTAGAAGCAAGCCAAATGTATAGGTCTTGTCACTCTTAAGCGCTTTCTCTCCTTAGATATTTCATTGTGTGGCATTAAGTATAATAATATGGTGACGCTAATATTGTCATATCATTTCAAATCATCTTGCTTGCTACCTAGTCGGCTTTTCTTCTTGTCTGATACCCCTTTCTTTAAGATAGCTGACAGCTCCTTCGTAGTACTTTGAGAGCTGTGAACAACATTTACGATAGCTACATGCAAGAATGTCGTGAATAACACAAGCGGACAGCATGTATACAGTATATGAAAGATGTTTCCTATTCCGGCTATGGACCATGCTATCCTCCAATGATAATAGCTCCTGCGAGCAAGGGTGGTCAGACGTCTAAAATGAGCTAAGCTACGTAGTATCGGTTGATACCGTCGTCAATCTCAATATCCAATATCCTCCCCCTCTTCCTCCCAATTACATTCGCGTTTGGGGTTTCGCTATGCGAGTCTCCTATCTCCCAACTACCTTATTCGGGAGAACAGTACCTAGTACTCTGGTCACTGGCTTCCGGGTTTCTGGCCGTAAACGCAGACCAGTGGCATGTACAACAGCAATGAGTTGTCATGATACCCCTTCCGCACAGAAATTAGGAAGGCCTCGACCTGCTCTCTTCTCCATTGAAGGCCTCTAGTCATCGGTCCGAGTGCTATGGCTTGAATTCCATCCAGAAGGATCGTCTTCCAATATAGTCCTACGCTCTTTAGGATCTTGTTTTTCGGCCACGTGCCTATGGGTACGTGGAAGACGCGTTCAGTTACGTTGACATATCCGCACTGTCGCATCAAAGCCGCTATCCGACCTTCATCCGAAAATCTGAAGTTAACACCGAGACTCTCAAGTCCCTCGTCCACGTATTTCCAGTATTGGGCGACCGGGTGGTCCTCTTCCAGGGTATTGTTACTGCTCATGGGGAAATGATAGATTTCTTGTAGCTCCAACCAGCCGCCGGGTTTCAAATGTCTGAGCACATAGCAACTTAGCTTCGATTCGTGATTCAAAACGAGAATTTATCATGCTTGAGACAGAAGAACTCACTCGTAGGCAGTCTTTAGCAATTGGTCCCAGTCCTTTATAGCCATGATTGTATGTCGAGAATGTATATAGTCGAAGTGATTTAGCGGATGCAGCCACTCGCTTTCCACGTCGTCGACCATGAATCGGACATTAGGCGGTACCCATTGCGGTTGAATGGGACTCAGGTCGACACCAAGAATGTTTGCGCTAGGATACGCATCGCCCACTTGACAGGTCAGTACCAAAATAGTTGAACAGTCACGCCATAGGAGAGGACGGCTTACTCTCGATCGCCCAGATTCCAGTACCTGTTCCCACATCAAGTATCTCATGTGGATTGTCTCCAATGGGCGCAAAGTGTAGCTCTTGACATAACAACTTTACCATAGCATGCTTCATATCCTCCCGCTCCTGTTCAACATCGTCATTTGGGAAGTTGTATCGGCCTTCCCTAAACTTGTGGTATCTCCTACCGTTTTCAAAGGAAAAATCCCATATGCTTGAAGATACCGAGGTAGATACCGTTGTTGCTGAATCTGATTCGTATCCGGCATCGGTAGTGGATTCATTAACTAGAACGGTGGCTCTGGCCTCGACTTGCTCTCCTGGTTCGGCACTGCCTTCTAGCTGCTGGACATCGTCGAATAAGCCCTGCGTATCTACATACGCATCATTCCCACCTTGTGATGCCATAGGCGATACTTGCGGCGTCCGTACGGTGTAGACATCTGCATCGAAATACTCATTCGCTGTATGGAGTGGTGAGTGCTTTTCAGCATCATGAGGCCTTGGAGGTGCTAATTGCAAACTATAGTTTAATTTTATCGGAGATCCATCGGATTTAGCCGGGCAGGTCGGAGGCGGACAGAGATACTCAGTAGAAGAATCTTGAGGGAATATATTATTACCGCTGCTAAGAGGAGTTCCTCCCGCAGTGCTAATACCACGGGGACCAGGCGAGATAGTCGGTGTAGTACTTTTGTCGTCCTCCTGGGCTTGGGCCGATGAGAAACCTTTGGATGTATAAGGAGATATGCTCGGATTAAGATGGGTGTAGGCTTGATATTGAAGCTTTGGAGAAACAAGAACAGTTGGGCCACGACCGATGTCTGCCATGATCGACGAAGATGCAATTAGATGTCTGAATAGATTGAGACTTGTCGTTATATGTCATGAGTCAGGTGATGGATAGTGATCTGAGACATCCAAGCAGCCATGCGTGTATGCATCTGGTCCTGAAGTTATCGGACTGGCTTGATTAACTTTATTGAAAAGAAAATGGAGAGACACCCTGGGTTTTCCATTGGCGCCGACAGGCCACAGAAGTCGTATCACAAGGTGAATGGCAGATAGAAGACAATTATTCTAGTGTGGCTATCAAAGAGATTGGTAGCATCAAGTACGGCTGCCCGCATGAGCACTAGAAGTGGTGAATACCTACCTCCTACCTAAGGTAGCCTGGGTGACAAAGGTACCCGCGTAATGAGGATTGCAATACCGATACACGGCAGCTCGCCTGGAGAGGTCAATCGGCTGATGAATGCGCACGATGAGGGATAAGCAGGATATCTTGAATGACAAGTATTTAAGAAGAGTTTACGTTGATATTTACCTCTGTTAACATCTGGCTCGAAAACGAAGGAATTAGTTACTAAAACAGCTACGAAAATATAAAAAAAAATTGATAACATGTCTAAAGGTTTGCTATGATATCTGTGTAAGATAGGTAGTGTGTATTGCTACTTTTAGGTATGACTTTCGTAGATGTAGATACATACAGGTAATATTCATCCCCGATTTGTCCTATCAGCCAGGGGTCAGGGGTTCGGATAGACGACTCAACTGGGTTCGAGTAACTCCTAACACAGCACTGCGGCTTTCTGATCGGGTCTATACGTAGTTCGCCTTGAAAAGAGGCCGTCCTTGATTCGAAGAATGTATATGATAAATTTGTGACGAAATGATCCCTATTGGGGAATACTAATGTCGTTCCCAGACGGTTATTTTCGGTTCCTAATAGTGATTGGTCCTTATACTTGGTGATTCGGGTTTTGTGTTCAGTTTCGTCCGTAAGAAGACAGGAATTAGGCGATTGAGAGAGTGATATCACGAGCCGCGGCTCGCAGTTTGCTACAAACTGAAACAGACAGTTGATGGAACAGGTAAATACAGGAACGTAGGGCAAGTAATTGGCTACGATGGGCTATGGTGGGCAACTGCATATATTTCTCCGAGATGACAACATCCCAAAACATTTTGCCCCTTCAGGGACTCAGAAACTATCCAATGAGTGGTTATCTCTCCGGCACCATACAGCCGTAGTCCACGAAATCTCGTGCTCTGTCATCATGATTAATTACATGCCGCGTTGAACATAGCGGAGGTAAGTTCGGGCATAATGCGAACTCTCCTTGGCAGTTTGTAGCTCTGGACAGTTTGGCCGACTGAGAAGATAAGGTCGGAATTAGTAGGAACTAACTCGGATCTCTAAAAATGCCTGCGTCGCAGTTGATCTATTATTCTGACGAACCTACGATGAACACGTCTTAAGGTATCTTAGAAATTACTAAAACCTATCGTCTGAGAACTTTTAAGTCTATTATTATGAAGAATCATTATAGAAACCTGCTGCCCTACATTCCAGGTACCTATTTCTCCGTTGCGTTACAATCCTTTCCCAACGTGAGCACCCAAGGCCAAGGGACTGGCCCTTTATGAAACAGGGTCTAACGGTCGAATATGTACCTACCTGGTATACACATATATCTTTATAGGTTTCGAGGTGAAGGAGATATGGTAAATGATAATTCTATATTAGTGAAGCGTACACGCACGGACTCACTTAAACAAGTACTAGGTACTCTTTGTGAAAAATGAAGCTTGGTGGCACAATTCCTTTTCGCCTCGTCGATAACGTTTCTCATGCATGGCCATGGCCATCGCCGCCTCACGCCGGACTCGGCCGTTCCATTTTATATATTGACATTAGAGTAAGGGGGAGGAGAGGCGGGCCTTTTCTCCAAAATAGGAGAAGAGCTACCCTGCAAAAAAGCCCCTGATGTGCGGGGAATCCCTGAATAATAGGTCCAGGCCCCAACGCCATCTCGGTAGGTCGGGTTACTATTTACAACATACAACACACACTAGTTATTTACAAATTACAACATATTAATGGATTAATCAACAAACCCCCCAAGGAGTGTAACTCCAACGGATAAATGCCACCAAGCAGGACCTTTACGTACTGCGAAGGTGCACCGTCATGGAACCCGACGACATACGTGGCTGACGCGGCGCTACACGAGCACGTCGAAGCACTCCTCTCTAACGACGATTTCCAATCCGCTATCATCGCCTCATTCTCGCTACCACACCCCCGTCGCGATTCCTACGTCTACCACGCCATCGTTAGCGTTACCCTAGCCGAAGTCCAACATATCGTCTCCCTCGGACGTCAGAACGCTTTCCACGCCTGGTACTTCGAGCCCAAGCCCCCCAGCGAAGACGGCGGCGATGAGGAGAAATCCGAGCAGACCCCTTCCAGGGCGAAATTAAGAGCTCTCCCGCCACCCCCGCGCCCGGATATCGACGCCTACCTCTCCATCTTCGACCCCGCCACTTCGACCCCCGCCGCCCTCAAGACTTTCCTCTCCAACGCGAAGAAGGGCAGCCTGCGCGCCGAGATCGCCGGCTACCTGAATTCGAAGCGGTACCTGCACCCGGCGCTCGCGTCGCAGCTCACCATCCCGAAGCAGAACAAGAGCAAGAACAAAAGCGGCAGTAACAGTAACAACAATGTCCCGCCGAACCACTACCTATCGTTCCTAAGCTGGAGCTGCCGCAACCTCGAATGGGCCGGCCCCAGCCCCTCCTCCACCCTGGCGGGCAATCGCTCGCACCACGTCTTGCCCGTGCTCATGCATCACTTCGGATGCGCCTGCCCCAGCCACGAGGCGCTCTCGATCCTGCGCTCGCTCGCCGCGGGCCGCGAGGTCCTGGACCTCGGGTCCGGCGGCGGCTACTGGAGCTTCATGCTGCGGCAGTACGGCGTCCGCGCCGTGCCCGTGGACAGCGCCCAGAGCGCCTGGCGCGCGAGCTGGGTGTCCGACACCGTGATCGCCGACGGCGCCGAGTGGCTGCGCAAGCGCCGCCGCGGCAAGAACAAGAACAATAACAACAACAAAAATAACAAAAGCAAAAATAAAACAGCAACCGACATAGACCCCGACGAAGCCGTCCTCCTCCTCGTCTACCCCATCGTCGGGGGCGCCCTCGCCGGCGGCGAGGAAGGCGACTTCACGCGGAGCATGATGGACGCGTACGTGGGGGACACGCTCGCCGTGGTCGGGACGCAGAACCACAACGGGTACACGGGGTTCCGAGGCATGAGCATGGACGAGTACGTGGAGCGGGAGCGGGCGGGCGAGGGCTGGGTCAAGGTCGTGCAGATCGCGCTGCCGAGCTTCCCGGGCAAGGACGAGGCGCTCTTCGTCTTCCAGCGCGGTGCCAGGGCTCCACATACCTCCTCCTGTATCGGTGATACTGACGAGGCCGGTAGGGCGGACAATGGTAGTAGTGGTAGTAGTAGTAGTAGTAGAAACAGAAATAAAGACACTACGTGACCATAAATAGTCTCCTACGGAGCTCAAGGATTAAGTTGACGTTGTTATACCTTATTCGTTTCTCCCGAGGTGTCTTTGAGGATCCATTCCCAGCGGAAAAGAACAGAACTGGCTACCTCCCTCTTACTACTAGCTATCTCCCTAAGCTTTGCAATTGATAGCGATGTGATAGCCTTCAATTCTCTAAGGCAACGGGGCTTGAAGTAAAACAGAAAATCATTCGTATTAAAGTCAACGAGGTCCCATAGCGAGACCCAGGAAAATTCTTCCCATATCGTTTGCTTTGGGCTACCTTTAGGAGGTCTTTAAGGTGCTAAATATCGCCTCAATGTTCAGCGAATATAATCAAGGCATTCTGGTAAAAGCCTTCCTCCTCCCTTTTTGGCTATGAAAGCCAAATAATAGCAAATTATTATTACACTTAGCTTATGATGCTACCACAATGGGTACCTAGTAATAGGTAATATCCTTTTATGCCTAAACAGCAAAGCATAAAGGCTAGTATAGGCAACCTATTTCCTTGCCTCCTCCTGTCGTAAATGTGGCTCAGCAACACTATGTCGTGTTACCGCAAGCAGCTTGTGATCAGTTAGAATATCATCACCCCGAAATGCTGACTCCGCAACACTACAATGTCACCCCCCCCCACTTTCAAAGATGTGATTCTGAAAGTGAGATAAGACATAACAATCACATCACCAATCGGGTTCGGATTCAGCTTCGGGTTCAGCTTCCTTAACATCTCTATGCTGTAAGCCACGAAGATGGGGCGGGATCCATCTGTTAGTTTGCTCCTTCTCCTTGTCTTCTTTCTGCATAATTGGTTGGGTGCGTGAAGATGGTGTAGCTTTATTCGATGAATTGGAGAGACTTGGCCATCTTGGACAGCCCTTGATCGTCTTGCCCAACTCCTCAGAGGCACGTTGAGTATGGAATCTCGTATTGGGCTGCTCGACTGCCTTATTCAAAGGACCTCGGAGATGAGGGGGCAGTTGATTGTCAGGGCTGCGGACTTGTTGCGCGGGAAGTGGCCAGGGTGTGTTCTCGCGACCATGGACACTGGAGGTAACCTGGTGGATAGAAGGCGACGCAGCCTGGGCATGCTTTTCAGGCTCATAGGTATTGTTCTTAGGCTTCGTCCCCTTTTCGCGAGCTAGATTTTCCATGAATGTCAATAAACTCTGAGTCTCTGCCATCTTCGCCTTGATTTTCACGAGTTGGTTTTCGGGGGCCTCCAAAAGCTCCATAACCAGGCTGTCTCTTTCTCGGATCAGTCGCTGAAGTGCTAGCTGGGTATCGACATCGGGGAGTAATTCCTTCATCTCCGAAGGGAGGTTGGCGGAGAGGGAATCTAGTCGCATACTAACTTTAGATAGGGGACGCAGGACCAAGTCCGAAGTTTTTCCAGGTGAATCGACTGCGTCTGAATTCTCCTCGGGGGGTATAAAATGACTTCTGGGACGAATAGACAAGTCGATTGAGCTCAACCAAGCACTGCATGCATTATGCATTTCGAAGTCCTTAAGGAGTAACTCAGTTTGGCGTCCTTTTATCTCTTTGAAAACTATATGTTTGTTAGCAGCAATCAGCAGTGGTGGTACCTTGATACCAGGTAGGTATACTTACAATCAACGACACGCTTCACTGTTGTCTGAGGGGATTGAGAACGAAATAAAGTGTAGTTGTTTATGGCAGCTGCCAAGTAGGAGACAGGAACTTCCAACCGTCTCTGAATCACGCTGAGTGAATTCGGGTTGACACCAGGAGGAACATTTACTCCAGGAATGTGCATGCTGATATATCCAAACAGACGATTAACAGCCAGGTGTGTAGCATCAGTCGACTCCATTATCCATCTCGGCTCGTCCCAATCTCTGCATCGTTCTTCGTACGGCTTCGGAATTCCGAAATACCTTAAAGTCATGTCAGCAACTACGGCCGACGTAGCACGATGTTCCATGATGTTGAAAATTTCGTGGCATTCCCTATAATCGGGATAGCCATTTTCAAGGAACATGTGGAAGGCGGCTCTAGCGCTTCGACCAAAAGGCAGTGCCCAGTATCCGGGCCAAGCAGAGAACGAGTCGTTCACGAGGTGTTTGATGTGCCGTTCCTGCGACGCCTTGTTGCCTCCGAATGCGCCTCCGAGAAACTCAAGTCGCTGCTCCTTCATCGTGGCTGCGGCGGATACTCCAAGCTTTTCCCATTTCTGTTTGAAGTAGCTTAATGGCTTGTGCTTACGGGAGCCAACCAGCTTCTGCCAGTCATCACCATGTACCTCAAAATTGAAGGAGTGATTTCTATTCCCAGCTGACAATCGACCTGCGAGAGCATTATGAATTGATATTTTGAAGGCCTCAATGGCAATATGCTGCCGCTCTGAAAGTCTAACGGGTCCCGGGTATAAACCATCCTTCTCCACTTTGCCAAGCTGATCCCAGTCAATAAAGGGGCATGACCAGCTTAGAAAGTGGTCAACCAGATCCTTTGCGAATGTGGCACCAAACTGTCTTGCGAGGAATTCCGTGCTATCGGCACGCAGCTTTCTAGTCGGTGGCCGACAAAAGGAGGGATTGACTAGCCAGCCCGCAGAAAACAGAGCAGGGGTAATGACGATGGCCTCAATTTGCTCTCCAAGTATTTCACGCATTTTCCCACTTGTGACTCGGATTCTGGGATTCGTCTCTCCGAAGAAAACATCCTGTTCTAATGTGGTAAGACCACAAATAACAATGATTAAAGGAAGACCCTTCCCCCTGGCGATTATAGACTTGTTTGCAAGGGTTGTGAGGAAATCATCCATGAGCTTTTCGGCGGACGGCTCAATTTTGATGTCATCGTCTCGTTTCTGGCTAATTCCGTTACGGTCAGTGTATAAGGAAGGGGCGGCGGCCACATCGACCAAGCGACGGTCTTTGCCATGGGCGTAGTCGTCGGGGTTGTCCTTTACAATACCGGCAATGTCACATTGGGAAAGCCAGGTCTGGGCTCTCGAATGCGTTTCGCCGCAAAGGAGAGCCTTGAAGGCCAAGAAGTCAGCGATGTGCCAGCCGAGGTCATGTTTGCCTGCGCGGTCGTGGGGCACAGCACAGAGACCAACAACTCCGGAGTCGGGACTGATGTCCGGGATAGTATGCGTAACGAACGAGGCATCGAGAACCTTATTAGTAACATTAGTACCAGCCGGGATGAAAGCCGGAGCTGACGGTGTCAGAGGTCTGCTAGTGGACCCAGTAGTCCATTTTGCAGAAGACATCGTAATGGGCTGAATGGCCAGATGACGTCAAGACACCGTAGTAAGTCTATTTCGAGAGCAAGAGTTAGTATAAACTCATCTATATAGGCAAGCCTGATGGAAATATGATCAAAGGATACGACGAGACAAGGGGGAAAGCTGGGGAAGTAGAGGTGTCAGTTAGGAAGGGTACCTTTCCTGCCTGACGAAAATAGAGAGAGGTTGGTCAGCTTTAACGAAGTACCTAGGTAGATATAGAGGGTACAGTCTCAGTTAATGGTGCTAGGCAGCATACAGGAGTGGCTAAAGTGAGTTGCTCAATGAATTTGGTCATCGGGAAAGGAAAGTGGTTGGCTTGTATAAAGCTTCCCACATAAGGTCAAATCAAAGAATTATTTAAAATAGGGTACCGGTGATAAAGTGTGATAGGGATGGGCTAAGGAAGAGGAATGTCACAGAGGGACGAGAGAGAGAGAGAGTGTGTGTGTATGTGTATGTTTGTAGAGGGTAAGCAGAAGCTTTTTCATTACCTCAGGTACTCGCGAACGCATTGGGATAGCGCGTGGGCGATATAAAAATAAAACAAGGAAAGGCAGGGACAACTTACTGCTTCTTTTGAAGAAAATATCGAGATGAAGTGCGGATAGGGACGGTTGGTTAAAGCGGAAGATGCTGCGGAAACTCAAGCTACCTTGCTTGGTGTTTGATGGATATGTGGAAAGTAGACGTAGTAGGAGGGTCTGCTCCAGGAGAGAAGGAAAAGATTTCGGGGGAGCTCTGAAATATGTTTGGGAAATGGTTGCCGCGGTTTCTTGTACTGTCGCCTTCCCTTTCAATTTTGTTGTTAGCAAACTGCAGCGGGTTACAATCTTATGTATGTACCATGTAGATACACAAGTCGTACCTATGTTAGGTAAGTCTTACAGTGGTAGGAAGTACTTACCCAAAAGCTAGTAGGATGGATTACCTGAAGAGGGAATGGAGGATGCTTAGGGTTTAGTAGGGGTCCAAATTATGAGGATTGTATGTTTTGCATAGGTTAGGTAGGTGCGAATGCCGGTGCTATATATTAATAGTAGGCATTGGACTGCCTGAAATGCCTGCAGTTACGAATAGCCTTGATTAGGGTGCTAAGATAAATAAACAGTGGAAATTCTGGAGGCTCCGCTGAGTTCCAGCAAGTTCCGAGTTCACGACTCCACGCCTGTGGCAGCAGCTACCAAGGAAGGGGTGGCTGGCTATATGCATCCCAAAATCTTTTCGTAGGGGCTGGGGAACTGGCATTATCCCCATATCTTACCCAGGGGAGGGTTTCTTTTACAGCATATAAGGGGCCATATGTTGATGAGCAAAACGAGTCTATAGGTTACCTGATTTGGCAGTGTTTCTGCACGTCTTTCAGGAGATGCCCATGATGTCCACTCCTATCCCTTTGGGCCTTAAATTCACTTGTACCTTGCTAGTTGGTTCTATTTCGGTATCATTTCAATTTGTCGGTATGATGAATCAAGTCGGCTTATTATAGCGGGCTTTGGAATCATGTTGTCGTATCTCTTAGTCCTATCCTTTGCAGTTACTGTACGTACGGTATTGAATCTTGAATCAAAGGAGAACAATAACAATGCCTTCATCATGCAGGCTACTAGCAGGCAGGAGGTACCTAAAACATACCTCTAAATACTCTCTTACGTGTAGGTAATTTGCCTACTTCTTGTTAGTTGATGGTTAGTCGAGTTTACATTCGTGGGCGTGGACATAGTGTCAGTAGATCATTATCCCCTTGACTGACGTAACACTGCTTTCCCGCTTGTATTATATGCATTGCAGGGGATTAGCTGTCTTATGCAAGTTAAGGGGATAACTTTGGAGATATTATTTGGATTTGAAATCATCATCATTTGACCTTTATTACATGTTGTCTAGGAAGTCCCGACAGACCTGTTGGATGGATACCTAGTACAGCGAAGGCAACATATTAAGGTGGATAACGTTGTCTTTGAATTGAATCCAGGCAACTCCATGAGTGACGGTACGAGAGTGTTCTAGGTTCAGTATAAATTGGCAATTAGGTTAGGTTAGGTACCTCCTATACGTCCTTCAACTTTCCAGGAGCATTATCTAGTAAACGGCCATCAAAGGCTGTTAGTTCATGCACGTGATTGTTGAAAGAACGTAGGGGGCTCACGCATTGACGGGATCCTCCGGTTCGTCTAAATTCTGGCTGCAACACGCCTTAGACACGCTTGGATCCGCAGGGCCATCAATCATCCCTCCCCACCTCATCCGATCCTAATACTACCTAGGTCTCAAATAATATCAATAGGTACCTACCTGTTTAGGTTACATCTGTAGGCAGGCATATACCTACCTAATGGAATATCAAGGCTGGTTTTTTTCTTTTTCATTATTGTAGCATGTCATTCAAGGCACCTAGTATGGGATCGGAAAGTCTCTCCCGGACACCCTTTCCGAAATCTCAAACCAAAACTAGGCCGCGCATCATGTGGGTTTTTGGTATTTTAGCCATCGTACTCTGGGCCGTTCGGGGTTACGCTTGGGATGCTGGAGGAACACAAAAGAAAGTTGCTGAGGATGCCAAGACATCCTTGCAGGATATTGTCACTTGGGATAGTCATTCGTTATATGTGAAGGGAGAAAGAGTTATGATTATGAGCGGCGAATTTCATCCGTGGAGGCTTCCCGTCCCATCCTTATGGCTTGATATTTTCCAAAAAGTTAAGGCGTTGGGATTTAACTGCATCTCTTTTTACAGTAACTGGGCTCTTTTGGAAGGTAAACAAGGGAATTTCTCAGCACAAGGTGTATTTTCCTACGAGCCATTCTTCGAGGCTGCAACTCAAGCTGGCATCTATCTCATAGCAGTAAGTAACTATTTACCCTTACTTTTGAAGCGAGCTTTCTGAATAGAAAAAGCGACCAGGGCCTTATATAAATGCCGAGGTAAGCTTCGGTGGGTTTCCTGGATGGCTTCAACGCATCAAGGGGCAGCTAAGGACATCAGATAAGGACTCCTTGGCGGCTACGGACAAGTCAGCCTCAATACCACCATAGAACAACTTCTCAGCTGACTGAGATAGTTATATTTCCCAAATTGGCGCCATTATTGCGAAAGCCCAAATCACGAACGGTGGCCCTGTGATACTATATCAACCAGAGAATGAATATACAGTTGGCGTCTCTATCCCATTCCCCAACGGCAAATACATGCAATACGTGGAGGATCAGGCGCGGAACGCAGGAATTGTCGTACCTCTCATTAGCAACGATGCAGCGCCACTGGGCACTAACGCTCCTGGTACAGGGTTAGGTGCCGTGGATATCTACGTGAGCTGCATTGAACAAGTTTCCTTAAGTTTTAACCCCATTATCTAACATGCGATAGGGACACGATGCTTATCCAGTTATGTTTGACTGTGTAAGTGACTTCACGGATACAATATAACGTAGGCGCTGATAAATCTAGGGAAATCCTTCTACCTGGCCGCCATTGGCATTATCAGGAGTCTATCACCAGACGCACGAGTTGCAGAGTCCATCCACCCCTTTCTCACTCTTAGAGGTTGGTGCCGAAATTTACATGCGCTGTTGGTCTACCCTCACTAAATCCATCGCCAGTTCCAAGGCGGCGCCTACGACCCTTGGGGAGGACCGGGATTCAACAATTGTGCAGCGTTTATCAACCATGAATTCGAGCGCGTCTTCTTCAAGAACAATTTTGCCGCAGGGGCAACTATCCACAACATATACATGGCTAGCCGCAATCAGTTCTCTTCTCGCAACTCCGCTGACTTGTTGCTAGATTTTCGGGGGGACCAATTGGGGCAACATTGGACATCCGGGAGGGTATACATCCTACGACTATGGGGCGGTAAGTGGGAATTCCCCTATTCGGAAAATATTTAGACATTAATTCAGATCTTCCTCAGGCCATATCGGAAGATCGATCGCTTACGAGAGAGAAATACTCGGAATTGAAGCTACAGGCCCAATGGTTGAAAGTGTCGCCGGATTACCTGACTGCAGAGCCTGGGCCTGCTCTGGTGTGGACGTATGCTAACAACGCTGCCGTCACGGTAACTCGACTGGCTGGAAATAGTTCAGCTGGCAGTGGGTCATTCTTCGTCGTCCGTCATAGTGATTATACCAGCACTACTTCCGATAATTATACGATGAAGCTCCCAACATCACAAGGGGACATATCAGTTCCTGCGTTGTTTGATGACCTCACCCTCCATGGCAGAGATTCGAAGATCATAGTCACCGATTATGATGTTAAGGGGATTAAACTTCTATATTCTACTGCCGAAATCCTAACACACCAGAAATTCGGACACATGACTGTCCTTGTCGTGTATAGCGGAGCGAGTGAAATGAACGAGCTTGCCGTGCAAATTAAAAGCACCACTCCAGTTATATCGGATGATTCTGTAAAAGTGAACAGGACAAAGCAGCTTGTTACTTTAGCCTGGCCTACTCCAGAGACAAGGACTGTTGTTCAGATCGATAATTTTCACATTTATATTCTAGGTAGGGCGAAGCTTTCTATCCATATAATCAAAGCTAATGAGAACATGTCCAGATCGAAATTCAGCTTACAATTATTGGGTACCCGAGATCAACAAGTCCTCATCACTGATTGTCAGTGGGCCATATCTCGTCAGATCTGCCTCTTTCGACAATGGCGCGCTGTCACTATCTGCGGACTTTAATAGATCAACGGTGGTCGAAGTTGTCGGCGCCCCTCACAATACCGCCGTTCTCAAGATTAACGGAAAGGCGACCGAATTCAAGAAGGAGGAAGGAAGAATCGTAGCCAATGTTCCATTATCAGCTCCCTTGCTCGACATACCTGCTCTATCTAGGTTATCCTGGACATACATCGACTCCCTCCCGGAGATAAAAGCGTACTATGACGATTCCACTTGGTTGGCGGCAGATCATAAGTCAACGAATAATTCCTACCAGACTATGCATACGCCTACCTCACTCTTCGCTGGTGATTACGGTTTCAACGCTGGAGTGCTACTTTTCAGGGGCCATTTTACCGCCAAGGGTACCGAGAAGTCTTTTAAAATCAAGACCCAGGGTGGCACTGCCTACGGCCACTCAATCTGGCTCAACGACACCTTTCTAGGGTCATGGATCGGCAGCCCTAGTGCTTCGAACTACGAGGCAACCTATGAGCTTCCAAGTCTTGTGCTAGGAGCGCCGTACGTCTTCACAGTCGTAATTGACCACATGGGACTGGACGGCAATTACGTCCCCGGTATCGACACCGGTAAAGCGCCCCGCGGGATCCTCAGCTACCGCCTCTCCAGTTCGATATTCGATAGCACTCCTATAACGTGGAAACTCACTGGTAATCTCGGGGGCGAAGGCTACATCGATCACACCCGGGGTCCCCTGAATGAAGGCGGTCTCTATGCTGAACGACAGGGCTACCACCTTCCGCGGCCTCCTAATGAGGCCTTTACGCCAGGGCCACCGTTCTCAGCACCGAGAAAACCAGGGGTATTCTTCTATACAGCGCCGCTCTTGCTCGATCTTCCGTCCACTACATACGACATCCCGCTCTATTTTTCCTTCCGAAACGTCGCTGGTGGGGCCGTGCGCATCCAGCTATACGTGAACGGGTGGCAGTTCGGCAAGTACGTGGGGCATATCGGTCCTCAGACCCAATTCCCAGTTCCGGAGGGGATCCTGAACTATAACGGCGAGAATTGGATTGGGCTGGCAATATGGCGCATGGAAGAGAGCAGCGACGTGCCTGTGCTTGATTTTAGGCTCGAGGCTGGCGAGCCAGTTCTGACTGGGCGCGATCCTGTGATCTTGGTTGAGAGTCCGGCGTGGTCAAGGCGCCAGGGTGCTTATTGATCTTGGCAGTTTACTCAACTCTCAAGGTTTTGAAATTGTGCAGCGTGCTTTCTGTTAGGTAGTTGAATGTCATTCTTATTAAAGCATGCCATATTCTACGCTATACTACATCCTGCCTGGTGTTGAACTGGCTTCTGTTATCCTGTTGTTAGGAAGAAGTGGTACGCTTCTGTACTCAAGATCTATCTTGGCTTTAACATGCTCCTCAGGTAGCCCTGTAGGTTATTCGAATAATATGATGCATTTTTCAAAATGACCTAGCAGCCTAGATATTCATATTCCCGCCTTGCCTTTTCATAGTCCTAACGGTACTTGGTAGTTAAACTCCGGTAAACCAGCAAATTGAGGAAACGACTTTCCTGTAGCTTGGTAACGTTCCAACGGTAAGAAACTCTCCAGACTAGACTTGACGCAACCCGTCTTCTCTAGCGCTCGGCCCTCAAACCGATCTTCAATCCACTTGAGCCACGTCTGTCTCGTGGCGTCTAGAGTAGGCACATGCCACGTTCCATTCACAACCAAGTACTCTAGATCTCCCTCAGGGACGGCTTCGCACGTGGCCTGAACAGTCGTAGCCGTAGCATTTTCGGGGATATAGTAGTCCTCCGTCCCATGAATAACAAGTAGGGGCCCTTTGAAGGGTTTGCCACCCGCATTTGCTAGCTTGCCGTATGCATCGACATACCAGGTCTTGTCGTAGTCGTCCTGGATGATCTTATCGCCCGACAGGAAAAGCTGCGTCGAAACGGCAATCCCGCCCTCAACTTCCTGCAAGAGCTTCGTTCGCGCGATGCCCAGCGGGGTCAGCCACGCGCTAATATTGAAGTCTGGGAAAATACTGGGTAGTATCATGCCAATCCACGGTAATAGGTATTCAATTTGGCCGATAAACGCGTTTGTAGTAGGACTCGCGGCAATTGTACCGAGATACCCTTTCGCCAACCTCTTGAACTCGCCGTCACCTTTGGCCTCAAGCACTTCAGCGACACCCCACGCAACACCACCGCCCTGGCTATGGCCCATAACCACAAAACGTTCGTCCAGGACTTCGGGAAATGCTTCGAGGGATGCTTGTAAGGCATAGAGGGCGTCGTGCCCAGATGTTTGAGACATCAGATACTGGTGGGGGATGTCGCTGCCATCCCAGGACTTGTGAATACCAAGGCCAGCGTAGTCGGGCGCTACGACAGCATAACCTGCAAGGGCCAAGGCAAAGGGCCCGTCGTGGCCATACCAAAGCGCTCTGTGCGTCGAAGGGCCAGCCGAGGCGAAGAACCCCTCTGTACCGTGCGTCCAGACAACGGCAGGTGCTTTAGTGGATGCACTATAGTTTCCCGCTTGAAACCTCTTGGGCGTGAAGGGCCAAAGGATAAATGCTGAAGCTGGGACCACGGTTCCGTTGAGATTTGAGGTCGTATACAGGATACGCGAAAGCGCTGTGTTCGGAGGGATAACAAAATACGATGTGTTTGTGAATTCTTGGACCTTAAGAAGCGTACCTGGGACTGGGGTCCCAGAAAGTGGTGGGAGTTCGTAAAAGCTGTCTTCAGCAGGACCGCCGTTGGCGAGTTGGGAGCGGTCGAAGTTAATAGCAATATTGATGTTATTGGCTGCTGTTGAGGACAGGTTTGCAGATTCTATTTGCGAAGTCGATAGAGCAAAGCTAGAGTTGAAACCTGTCGACTGTTCAACATTCAACGGCGCTTGAGCCTCGACATGTGCCACTGTCAATAAGGCAGTGGCGAGCAAGGCCTTGATAGAACACATGTTAACTGATTCTCCTTAGGTCGATCCTGGCCTATTAGTTGTCCTTGATGTAGCACAGATTTTACTGCACAACTAAGTCGAAGTCACAGCTATATATATGTGAAAAGGAATATATTGGTCGGTCATAGTGGCTACCTGTGTGGATGTGTCTCCTATTGGGCCATGTGCCATACGGTTACTTATTCCGGTCATATCTTCGATGTCGTGGTAGAGAAGTAAAGGTGAGATTCCACGGAACTCCGTGGGAAACAAGTTAAGATAGAAGAGGTGCTGACGTGAAAGCACGGAATTTCGATGTTGGTGACAACGTTGGTGATATTACGGTGGGGATCATCTCTGATTATTCGAAGAGCGAAGTTAAGCTGTTAGCTTTTTCGGCTGACAAACCATCGAGTCAGGAGTCAGGGGTAAAGAATCTTTATAATCTAATATTGCTGATAAATGTTATATACCTGCCTAGGTCGAATTGATATACGCTATTAAAGCATACCCGGACTATAAGATGGAAATATGTTTTGCATGTGGTTAGATTTAGGCGACGTTTCTGAAGCACGCCCCCAACTATTGCAATCGAGGTAGTTGAAGATTCTATATGGAACGGAGAGATGGAAGGCACCTAGTTACAATTCGGAGAACATAAAAGCTAAATCTATGCTCAAAAGATTCATTCCGAAAAAAAAAAAAAAAATCAATCTAGAGCGGAAGCTGTCAATGTACGCAATGTCGGCGGAACACGGGCGCTCCGATATTCGTCTCGCATACCACAAGGCATAATGTGTGTTGTGAGAACGAGATCAAGGGTGTTACCGAACATTTTCCTAAACAAGGAGGGGGACATTTAAATGGTCTCAAAATAGTGGGAGCGCTGAGATGCGAGAGATGTGTAGAATCGCAATAGAATCGCAATAGAATTGGGTTATCAATTTCTGGGCCGTCTTGATGTTGCAATTGCTAGAAGCAACTGTCGAGAATAATTCAACTGAAAGTTCAGGATGAGTTTTGGATAGTTCGGTAATTATTACATCAGTAGCGGAACATGTTAATATTACTACGGTGCATTATAACCAATCAAAAAGGGACATTGCTGCAAACCTTTGATTAGGGACATAAGTAGTAGTAACAGCTCCTCCCCATGGAGTCATCCAATGACAGCATCAGTGGTTTAGTGGTAAAATCCATCGTTGCCATCGATGGGCCCCGCGTTCGATTCGCGGCTGATGCATTTCTTTTGCTATTTTTATTGAGCTCCAATAATATTTTTCTTTTGCAAGTTTGTGCAAAAGACCAGCGCATTGAAATTCAACCAAATACTAAATGGCTCTCGCTAGACCAAACACCTATAGAGCAACACAAATCTTTTTCCAACGTTTAGGTTAGGTACCTAGCAGGTACATATCATAATATATTCAGTTCAAATATGTATTAATCAACTCATCATTTCTCTATGCATGCTAGTTACATATATGTACCTAGTCGTGCATTTACACATTTCACATGAACTAACATAACAATATCAACTCTCATCCATCCATATCATATACACTCTCCACATCTCCCACGTACAACCCGATTGATCCTCCACTCTCTTACAACACAAGAGCAACAACAGCCAACAGACCAAGGCTCAAAGAAGCGGCCTTAGCCGAGCCGGCAGTAACCACCGGCGCAGTGGGGTACGAAGTCGCGGCTGATCCCGGGCCGGCGGCGCTGTGCGTAGGGACGGTGCCGTTCGTGTTGCCGTTGTTGTAGCCGCCCTTGCCGGTTGGGTAGACGGCGACGGCCAGGGTGGTGGACACGTGCTGAACGCTGGACGGAGCTGAAGAAGAAGAGGGGGAGGACAGCGATGACGACGACGACGACGCCGACGCCGGCGAAGGAACAGCAGGGTTGTTTACGACGGGGTAGCTGGACACTGCGGCGGTCTGCACGTCCTTGGACGGCGATGCCTCGTGGTATTGGTTGCCGACGCTGACGACTGGGTACGACGCGACGACGGGAGTGGTGGACTTAGTCTCGGCCGTTGTCTCGACAGTGGTAGAGACGATCGTGGTTGAGATTGCGATGGTTTCGGTGGTGACGGAGCCGACGGGGCAGTTAGTCACGCTAGGCGGGCACTTGGTGATGGTGGCGACGCGCGTGCTGTAGATGGTGCTCGTGTAGGGAACAGCGGTCGGGGTCTGCGTCGGCTTCTGGATCTCCGTGACGGGGCACACGGTGGTGTACAGAGCAATCGTCTTAGTGACGACGCTGCCCTTGGCGGGGCAGTCGGTGACGCTGGGAGCGCACGACGTCACTGTGTAGACGGTGGTAGAGTAAACTGTGCTCGTCGTGTACTCCGTGGTAGAAGCGCTACCGGTAGGGTAAGGCGACGAGGTTGCGCTCACGGAGCGAGTCTCGGAGACGATGTTGGAAGCACTGGTCGTAACCGATGCGGTAGGGTAGCTGCCGGATGAGGTGTTATAAATAGATGAAGCGCTGTAAGGAGAAGAGGTACTGTAAGCAGAAGAGATGCTGTAAGTAGACGAGGCGCTGTGAGTAGACGACTCGATGAATGAGCTGGAGGTCTCATCCGGAGGGCAATCGTCTTCCGAGGAAGTGGTTGAAGCACTGTACGAGGAGCTAGAGACGGTGGGGATGGTTGAAAGAGTGCTTCTGCTAGTAATTAGCGAGCTAGTCAAGGATTCCACAGCGGTAGAGCTGGTCGGGGACTCTGTAGCAGTAGCGATTCTGGAAGACAGTGTGCTGTCAGTGTAGGTCTCGCTAGCAGATGCCGAGCTACTGGAGGTAGCGTCGTAAGAAGACGACGTCGGGAACACGCTGCTGCTGCTGCTGCTGCTAGTTGTCGAGCTGGAAGCTGGAGAGCTTGAAACCGAAGAGCTGATAGGGGCAATAGAGCTCAAGGAGCTAACGGTGCTGAAGAAGCTGGACGAACTAGAAGTGCTGGAAGAGCTGGAGGCGCTGAAGACTGAAGAGCTAGCAGACGTAGCAGGGTAGCCTGAGCTGGAAGTGCTAGAAATACTAGATGTGCTAGAGATACTAGAGATGCTACTGGAGGTAGCAAGGTAGCTTGAGGTAGAGACACTGCTGGATGTAGGGACGGAGCTAGAAGTAGAGATGCTGCTGCTAGTGCTGGACGCAGAGCTCGAGGTAGATGTGGCGCTGACGGTCGAGGAAGTATAAGAGCTAGTGGTGCTAACGGTCGACGAGGTGGACGAGATAGTATACGAGCTGCTTGTTACCACAGGCTCGCAGACATCTCCATCACAGCCACCGCACTTCAGCGCCTCGGAAATCAAGTTGTAGTAGCTCTTTCCGGCAAGATCTTGGTTCTGGGAAGCATAATAAGCATCCCATAACATAGCACCGCCGAAATGCTCCCTATTCTTGTACGAGCAGATCAGGTTCTTAGCCTGCCAGGCTGTGATGTAGCCGCTTCCGAGAAAACCAACGGCGGAAGCGCTACCGGGAAGACCGATGAAGAGCTCAGCGGCGCTATTAACGCCACCGCTGATGAAGCTTTCCCAGTCATCGTAGTTGAAGCCGGTGGTCCAAGCCTCGCAAGAGGGGTTATTGTAGAACTGGATCCAGATCTTATCGAACTTGGCCTGCTGAAGGATAGTCTGCATTTGGAAATATTGGGCGGATTGCGGGCATTGAGGAGCAGCAGTGAGAAGAATGTTCTGGCTGTCAGCAGCGATGAGATCGCGAAGATGGTTCACCATGCGGACATATGGCCGCTGGTCGCCTAACCATACAAGTTAGTATCTATGCATAGAAGCATGTATAAATTAGAATTGTCACGAGCGTTGTCACAGTCTATATTAGAAAGGGGCGAGTAAAGGGGTAGGTCTTACTGAACTTAGTCTCGATGTCAAAATCGAAACCGTCGATGGTGGTGTGTTCAGTGCCACTAATATCGAAAGGTCGAGGTCCCTCGTAGCCGGTCTTGAAAGGACCGAAGGCCTGGTAGAGAAAGTCGGCGAAATCGATACCAGCCTGTACAGAGGAGAGGGTATAGTTGCTCGAGGAAGAGTATATTCCCCCAATAGAAAGCAACACCTTCTTGCCGAGCCCCTGGCACTTCTTGATATCATCCTTGATGAAAGAACACGAACTAAGAAGCTTAGAATTCTTGCTGTTGTTGACGTAAACCTCAGCCGCGCAGTGAGCAGCGAAGTTAGTACCCGGGTAGCCGGTACCGTTGCCATTTTCAGGAGAATTGTTTACGAAACCAAGTGTGACATAGTCGATACTGTCAGATTCGCAGTGCTTTCCAAGAGTATCGGTGTCAGGTCCTGATTGTCCCTGTAAATAGGAGTAAGTATATTAGAGGCAGGTATCTAAAGTATGAGATATATTTGATAACACAATATCATACCCAGTAAGCGTTAAGCTTATAGTCTTTGGTGTAGGTAGCAAAAGTAGAGGAAGCCGAAAGGGCGGCAACCAAAACTGATTTCTTCAACTGCATCTTGAGTGCTGTATTAAGGGATTATGTGATACGTAAAGATCGTGAAGTGGCCGAGGCCGAAATGAACGTGATCGTCAAGCTATTCAATGAAAGGACGCAAACAAGATGTTTGCTACGGCTGGCTGATATGCCGTTTCTTGTCAACTCGACACGTAGTGATGAAAAGGAGAGGAAAGGAAAACAAAGGAGAGGCAGAGGGCAGCGAGGTTATGAATGAAGAACAGCCATTCCCCCCGAGCCATTACCGCCCGGGCTAGGGGTTGACTACCTAATCCTCCATCATCACAGCCGTTCGTTCACCAGAGTATAGCATGGTCCTATATTGTGTGACTAAATTTTTTAGACATGATAGGTCCGATTTCTAATCGGTAGCTTTTCATCTCCTGCCTAATAATTTCCCAAGTCTCATGAAGTGAGATTGGGCTATCCCGAACGGGACGTCGCACCGAAGTGAACCATGATAGTACCTAGGTAGGCAGAAAAGTCATCGCTTAATATGTCCCAACTTACCATAAGAACACAGCATTACTAGAATTGGGAAGGTTGTCAGATTCAGGAACAAGCATAGTGCTCAGCCTAGAACTGGCCCTAAATGTAGTCGACAGGGTCGACAGGGATTAGCGGTTGGCCGGCTGCGAGGGCCGAACTGTAGGATCTATATCCACAGCGCAGGCGTGCCGCCCTATAGGCCAAGAAACGGACGCACGCGGAGATCTATTGAGGTCTTGGCGAACTAGGTTAAAGCGTGGTGTCTTCATCGGACCATTTCTGAGATAGAGCTTGTTTAATGGAGAATTTTTGTGAAGAGGAAAAGATCGTCAATTCTAACGACGACATCTTTAGGAATAGGGCTATCAAGCAAAAAAAGATCTTGGCGAAGTACCTTAGGTGCCTATACAGTTCTTCGTCCCTAGTAGTTGTTATAAATCACTTTTTACCTCTTTACCTAAACTACGACGCTGTAACATTACTGAAGTGTTCATCTTTCCGATTAATTCGTGCTTTGAAGCGAATGCATGCAAAAGAACCTACTACAAAAACGGAATGTGATAGTACCACTAGCTTGGTTCGGATTTTGACATTTATGAGACGAACGAATAAATAGTGGATCTCCTCGCTAACTCGGCTTTTAAGGATTCTGATCACAGCGCTTAGGGCTGGTTATATACATGTATCGCATGAACGCGGTTCCTGACCGGAAAACTACGTTGCATCAGATGTCGAGCATGCGTTTTCAGCCAGGGAAAGCCGAGCAAGAGAATGCTAACCTACTATGTAGAGTGATAGATACAGTGTCTATGGTTTCTGCGTAACTACGGTAAATTCAAGACCACATGTATCTCATATATAAGTCCAGCTTCCTTATGTAAATCTAGGATTCTTAAATACTGCATTTATCTTTCTTATTATCCACTTGGGAAAGGCCCTCTTGCTCTTTACCTATATTCCCTGAAATATTCGTTATATCAATATTAAGATGAGGTTTGTATTGCTGACAAGGACGGTCTTTCAATTTAAACTGCATTAAGCGGTTTTAGATCTTCGGCCCCGAAGGCCAAAGCCATAAGGTACCTGTTTGAGATGTTCAAAAAGGTAAGAATGTAGAAGGAAATGTAGCCGTAGTAGACCCCGCATTCCCCTTATAGCCCCTCTTCGGACGCGGCGGCACAGGAGGAGGGTATCTCTCCACAAAGTTTCGGGGGGATATGCCCTCTTTCTTCACACCAAAATCGTCGATATACTCGCCATTATACCAGTCTCCCTCTTATTCGTTGGTGACTATTATTATCTGGCCAACCCTGAATGGGAGATCCTCCGCGTAATTTGAAGTAAAGTCGTGGGTAGCTTTAACCGTGTATAACGGCGAAACTACCATACTAAAGTTGTGTTCCTTAACGGTATCAGCAGGGCTAGATAAAAGCTCAAAGCTAATGTTTGATATATCCATCAGATGTTCCAAACTGAGGGCTGACCATGGTGGAGAGAAGGAATTCAGGGGACACGCGTCCTGCAGCAGTAGTATCAGGTCGATTCCGGAGATAGGCATTCGCGTAGCATTCTCGTCATTTCCGTCAAGGCCCTGCTTTTCCCCCGTCCTAAAAGTAGTTTGAACTTCTTCGTACAGCTGAGTCTGGACATCACGAATGATTCCTTCCAGCTGACCTTTCAGTGCATCATCAACTTTTTTCTCCAGCACTCGATATATTCTTCGGTACAACTTCCTCTGTAGGAACTCATCATAACTCTTAGCTGTCGGTTTGCGTTCAGGGAACTCTTGAAATAGTTCCCATAGTCTACCTCAGTTAGCCTCATCGGCTATGGAAGGAGATATACTTACATGGCGAGGGTAGATTCGTAAGATTATCAGCGGGGAAAAGCACACAGCATATATGTCTCCCTTTGTCAGGTTCCGTTTTACTGTTATATTCTTTGAGTACAATATGGTGGCAGTATATGTACCCTAGAAATGTGTTCCTTACTACCTATTAAATCAGGGTTTAGAACTTCATCACAGGTCATACTACTCTTGATTAGAGTAAACTCACTTCACCCGATGGGTTAACTTAAACCCAGGACCGTAGCAAGACCCCTCAGAAGAACAATTTCGCGGTAAGTGAAGGTGGCGGCTCCGTTGGTGTAGTTCCATCATTATTAGAGTTTCTTCGTTTTGGCCGCTGCTGATGACCACCAGTATTACCGTTACCTCTTGGTGGAGGGCATTTCCCCTTAGCATTATCGTATTTATTCTGTTGATTGTTGGAAGAGCTAGCGAAACTTGGCTCCTATCCAGGAGCACTAGATAAACCGGATTCGCCGCCTTCCATTACACCCGAGGTAATGACACGGGTACATGTAGAATATACCATATCCATCAAGATACGAAGAAAAGTTATCCTTTGCTCGACCCGCTAAATAAAGAAGCTCTCTTCCTCGAAGTGGCTATCTCCACTGTCATCATTCATCGAAAATTCCGACACCTCAGATTCACCCTGAGAAGGTATTGTAAGTGTAGAGGTAGTCCCCGAGGTATTCTTTGCTGATGATCCTGTCGTTTTGGGCCAACTCAAATCGGTCGTCGAGTTGGCTTTGAAAAGATTAGGCGAATGTCACATTTCTGAAGCCTGGCCTTCCTCTGACAGTCGAGCCACTCCTTGACCTTGACGAAGACTACCATCTCACCGTGCCCCTGCGGTTTAGTTACCTAAGTGCTATCTTGGCTGGAGGATTGGTATTGGTAGATCTATACCACTAATTGTTTTACGAATTGTGTCGGCCTGAACTGGAGGCGTTGACGGGACGGAAGGTTTTATAGGTCTAACTAGGCTCAATGCTCTAGTGCGGTTGATATTAGAAAGCCTTAGGATGTATTATCATGGAGGTCACCTACTGGAGCCTTGAGTGCATAGCAATTTTCTCGCGAGCCAAATCTGGCTTGGCACTGACAGAAGAAGGGCGAGCGAAGCATCTTTCTTAGTGAAATTCTAGCTGCTCGACGCGATCAAAAGAATGTCGACACTAGGTACTTCGTACAGTCGTCAAAATTAGTTTCTAAGCCTCCTGCTGATATCAGCTCTCCTCAAATTACCTGTCTTCATTATTACACCAGGGCTACTCACTATCGATGATGTTTTCTTCAGAGATACTCGGTGGGTTCGATAATGAGCGATTGGCTACCGGTTTCGATATAATAGGTAGCTTTTCATTTTTCGAATCGCTGCTCTGATTTCGAAATGCAGGGTCGAAAGCTTGCTTCAAAAGGCGCGCTTCATCTTCCCAGGCCAACCCGTGACGCTTCTCGGCGATTCATAATAGGCTAGCCCATACAATCGGCGTGTAGGGTCGAAGCTTTCCTGTTTCAACAAGACCTCGATTACCTTGATGTTTTCTCGGCCTATTGCGGCCAGTATGGGTGCGGAAGATGTCGTAACTTCTCCAGGGATAGGAGGTTGGTCTGCATCCGCTAACGAAGAGAATAGAAAGAACTCTGTAAGCTGGTCATTTCCAGTTTGAGCGGCTCTCAAAACTGATATCAAAGGGTGGTTTGGAGAAAGGCAATCCAATAGTGATAGGGCCGTGAAACTGGTTAGCCCCGTCACATCAGAAGGCAATATCGGGGTATACGGGTTGCGGTAGTGGGAACTGGGAGGATTTCCATCCATTATCCCAGTCGTAGATCTCTTGGGGCGGCTGCCCGTAAATGCTCTGATACGTCGCCCAGGCTTTATACAATCAGTTATCTACCTGATATGATGAATGAAAGTGACGTCGCAAAGCCCTACTTCGAACTGATACTGGCGCGCGTCCCAAGAGATTCGAAGGACCTGCTTGATTTGCACGATGCGCGTGATTTTATTGATATTCTATATTGATGAACGTATCGAGCAGCTTGAGAGGACAGATTTCATCGACCTGACTGATTTTCCAGACATCAAGGACTTATTATATGGTCGAGATCCAATCGATTGCGTATCGCTTGTGGCATTGGAGTCCCGTTTCTGGCGTACTCCGGAGCCTTGTCGACCCCTGCGTCTCTGTTCCATCCTAGGAAGAATGGCTAGATGAAAATGAATGCTCTTATTAGCTGAAGTTGTTCCGTAGGAGATATTATACGATAGTTCGAAATCTATTCAAAGCACCGACCTCGTTTTCTTTTTTGATCCCTACCTCCTTCCGCAGAGGAACTGCATTCTATGGGTAAAACTGTTAAAATCGACCGTGGACAACTTCTCAGCTATAGGATAGCTTAAGACACTCGCTTATCGGACTTCGTAAATATGGGTTGGCGATGCTAAAACCTAAATTTTTCATTACGGGCATAGTCTCCTCTCGCCTTCCATCCTCAGGCCATTACGACGGCGATACATCGCCAATGCAGTTTTCTTAGACGAATCATTCAAAGATATAGGTGATATATGCGTCTATACGCTTGAAATAAACGGTGTTATACCCATCATTCTGCAGGTAGGTACCAAATGTACCTAAGATATTTATCTTCAGCTCATGAGTAACAACTTGTGCTTCTTGTTGAATGAAAAAGTTGTCATTGGGAGAAAGTAGGAAGAAGATGATGATTCCAATAAAATAAATAAGATGAGAGAATAAAATTTGAACGGGACTTGATTAATGACCAGTCGTGTTGTATCGAGAACAACTTCAGCTTCGACTTCACCAATACTCTCCATCGTCAATTTGTCCCCTTTATTGACACCATCAATAAATGCGCCATCACCTTCGTTAAGAACCTCATCGTGGCCCATCGAGCCGACTTTCGTTTGTCCATTCTTCGTCATCGGAACGTGAATATAAGGTACCTTTCTCTTGTTACACTCCGTGGTGCGTGCCCCGACAATCCAATCGAATTTTTCCTGTGGTGGGATTAAAGTGGCTCCCATGACGAAGTCGGCATGAATGTGTATGGTCCCGGCTCGGCAACTTTCTCTTGCTCAACAGTCGCCTCCGGATCACCCTTAAACGAGCTCAAAATTGGGACGGAAACTCTTGCGTTTTGCCCCCGCCCCCTCACCAAAATGGCGGGTGTGATATCTAGGGGCAAGTCCTCTCTTCCACGGGATTACCTACCTGTACCTAGGTAGATCTAAAGGAAATGCACTGTGTCTTCTAAGTGCTCATTCTGTTCAGAGTAGGCGATGCCCGTACCGGCGGTGGTAAACTGGACATCCCCGCAACGCATCCGGCATAACTTATCCGACTGCCCACCTTCGGCACCCTTGCGAAGCATGCTATCCCGGTAGGTCAGTTCGCCGGAAATGATGTAACTAAAGTTTTTAAAATCGCGATGAGGGTGTGTGGAAACCCCGAATTCGGCTCGACTCGGTCTTCGTTTAACACTGGACCTTTACCGACCCAAAGCGCGTATACTTATTAGGGTCGTACCATTCGTCGATTGAAAAGCTGTGGTAACTGTCTTAGACATTGCGTTTTTAATGGTATTCGTATACTAATAAGTCTTAAAGTCTTAACCTGAAGTTCGAGTTCGTATAACTGATAGATATAGATATAGAAACGAGTTTTTAATATTAATAGGTTAATTGTCTATCAGGTTCGTAAGTACTGTAGTTATCTTTCTACGATCTGATATTCAGGTGGCATGCATTTGCTTCTTAATTCTAACTCTAGAATTAGCTTATACGCATAATATGCCAAATAGGAAGAAGCATATCTAATATTCTACTTACAAAGCGATTAGCAATTGCTGAGAATCAGAGTATTATTAACTTCGAATACATGCGACGGAATACCCTAATCCGTCCGGTCTTGAAGGCTTGGAAACCTAACTTGGCGGAATGAACTCGGAACCTGTCTTGCACTTCCCTATCGCCTTTTTTTTTACCTTGCCGCTTTTCCCCAGATGTATTAGTTCATGCTTATTATATCATAAAATACACACCCGTAAGACCTATTCGTATAAGAAGGGATGTACATGTAAAGAAGTAAAAATGTATAGACCTCATCATAGCCGTAAGATATATATCTCATCCGTATCTCATAAAAATATGATTATTTGTCATTGAGAAAATTTAGCCTACCATGTTTTTTTTAATAGGTAATTGAACTGCAACATTCTGCACGTGGCATGTGAGAAAGGCTTGGATCTAACGCAGTGGAACGTCAAAACCCCCTCCCAGTGCGCCCGATTGTTCCGACAAACTGGATGAGCTCTGGGTTACAGCCAGCCTAGCTACCTTAAGTACCTAGGTACATACAGTTCTAATTTGAGGTTAGAGTTCGGAAAAAACTAACAGCCGATACCTCCTCCAATGGGCATTTGAGGGCGACAACGGTTCCTCCACTTTTTTTTCTCCAACATTTGGTCGCAAACTTTTGGATCTCTCCAGATAGGGAAAAAAAAAAAAAAAAAAATTACTAGATTTAAATCACGATGCTGGTTGCGCGGCTTTTTCTCTCTAGTGCAAGTGCTTCTGCACTTCCATTCAAAGGTATTCACTCTTACAATCGGCAGGTGACTTGAGCTCATACAAGCACGAGACTATTATTATTATTATTATTTAATTTCAAACGTTGTTTTGTGGACGACCTTCGGTAATTGCGCGTAACACCACGACGAGTACTTTGATCAACTACGTGGCGTTGCCCCGCGATCAACTATCCAGCTTGATCTTTCGTCCATTCAACCCATAGAATCAAGATAAAGAAAGTACGTTTCAACTAATTTTTTTCCTTTTCTTTTACAACAATCTACATACGGCGTTCCGACTTTGATACTCTTAGGTATTAAGAGGGTTGGTGTCAAGTGGTCCTACTCATCTCCCGATTCAAGATTCCATCCAATTGTGGAGGAAGGAGAATATATGTGGATGCAATTATGACTTATAACAAGACCATCACTCTCGAGGATAGCCGTAAATATTGTTATGATGAGTTTTTTCTTTATAAATGGTCGACTGCCTAGCCAATGCTGCGGATAAACACACTCTGAACAATATCCTATCATTTCCCACGTTTTCTCTCAAAGAGCCACACAGCCCTGGCGAACCTAAATCTTGAGTTTAAATATCATTTCTAACTAACTACCTGCCTAGGTACCTACTAGGAATAACGATCCTCACGACCCGAGCTGCAATCATGTGTGGTGTACTCGGTCTAATCTTGGGTCACGTCAGTGATGATCCCGATTCGCCGTGTAAAGCTGCGGTAGCGCTTCATGAAGCGCTCTACTTCTTGCAACATCGAGGTCAAGATGGTTAGTAATGTTCACCAGAAGATGATTAACAGCATTAAGATGCAAGTGTGTTATAATAGACAAGAGATATGCTGACCTTCATTAGCCTGCGGCATAGCGACTTGCGCTGCGGGTGGCCGCATATACCAATGCAAGGTAAGCTCCGCAGTCAATTCACATCAAAGTATTTTCAGTATCTAACGTCGATACTAGGGTAACGGAATGGCCGCCAAAGTCTTCGCTGATGGCATGAGGGTTCAAGATTTACCCGGTTCTATGGGTATCGGACGTAGGTGTTTTCTTTGCTCAGAATCACATCCCTATTTGGACTATCGAAGTCGAGTTGTTGGAACACCAGCTTCACCCCCACCCCTTGCAACAAGACATGTACTAAAACTTGACGCCTTAGATCTACGTTACCCAACCGCAGGTACTTCGTCGAATGCCGAGTCGCAACCGGTAAGTAATGGAATCTTGTAGCTTAGCAGGCTATTTTCACTTCTCACCGTATCATCTGACTTTTTCTAGTCATGGAGGCTAATATGTTAACAGTATGTTACAATGTCACCTATTCATTCCCCTCATATACCCCCCCTTTGATTCGGGTATTATCCGGTGATGGGGTGCACCGAGCTATTCATAGGTGTTAACAGAGAGTAGATTCTACGTTAACAGTCCTTATGGCATATGCGTAAGTTAGCCTCTGGTTATGTCTCCCGAGCGCTATTCTCCCATGAATAATGTTTGCTGTATAGGCGAGCATAGACTCACAATCCTTGATCTTTTGTTGTCTGGAATTTAATGGATTTTTATTTGGAGAACGCGCTTACTGACTATAAGTGCTACAGTTGGCTCATAATGGAAACCTCATCAACGCCATCGAGTTGCGCAAATATCTGGATACAGTTGCTCACCGACATATAAACACGGATAGCGACAGTGAGCTGTAAGTCAATAGACAAGTCGTATCCATCCCAATAGTGTTATATCAAACACGACACGCATGGCCAAGGCTGATACCCAAGCTCAGCATGCTCAACGTGTTTGCGAACGAGTTGAATGAAACAGGAAAGGCCAGAGTCAACACGGACGATATATTCAGTGAGTCCTGACAGCCTGCTGGATTACTTCCGTTGCATACGTCCCTTGTCATTTGAACCGTCTAGGATGCTGTTGAGATTTAATAGTACTAATACTTTATAGCCGCCTTAGCTCGAATGTATGATCGCTGTTCGGTGCGTCACGGGAAAGTTTTCGTTCATCTAAAATCAAAACTAACTTTTCAATTAGGGCGGCTGGGCTTGCACTGCTATGATTGCGGGTTTCGGTGTTCTAGGATTCCGTGACTCTTACGGCATCAGACCTTTAGTTCTTGGGGAGAAGGACTCGGAAACTCTTCCGGGCGCAATAGACTACATGCTCGCATCCGAGTCTATTGCCCTTCGCCAACTTGGCTTCCGTAATATTCGGGATATCTTGCCAGGCCAGGCTGTCTTCATTCAGAAGGGTCGAGCACCTGTTTTCCATCAGGTTCAGAAGCCGAAGGCTTACTCACCTGATATATTTGAATACGTATGTCGATATTTCGTTCTATCAGTATTAACCCGCTCAGATTTTCTGTAAAATAGCATGGGTTATCTCATTCATTTGGTGGGTGGAATTTTGCTGATTGTTTATTTTACAGGTTTATTTTGCCCGGCCCGATACAGGTTAGTTCAAAATGCCCCCCTGCGTTGCCAACCTTCTCATCTAACACTACTCGCAGTAATGGATGGTATCAGCGTCCACGCTTCCCGACAGAGAATGGGCTACAAGCTGGCTGATAAGATACGGGAACTACTCGGAGATGAAGCTATTAAAGATATCGATGCCGTTATTCCGATTCCCGAGACATCTAACACAGCAGCTGCAAGCGTTTCCGAGCGATTGGGCAAACCCTACTGCCAAGGCTTTGTCAAGAATAGATACGTTTTTAGAACATTCATGTTCGTCGCCTCTTTTTTGAACTGAAGCCCTATTGACTTGGGTGTAAGTAGCTATCGCTAACTAGGTATTCATAGCATGCCGCAACAAGGAGCTCGCCAAAAGGGAGTTAGGAGGAAACTCAGTGCTATCCAAACTGAGTTCGAAGGTCGATGTGTACTGCTTGTGGACGATTCAATTGTAAGAGGAACAACTAGTAAGGAGATCGTGGCCATGGCACGAGAGGCTGGTGCGCGAAAAGTAATATTTGCGAGCTGTGCTCCACCTATTACCGCGCCGCACATCTACGGTAGTAAGTAATCCGAACCTTATTATGACGTTGGGATATTGGTTCTTCAAACTATGATTTCATAGCAGCGGTCAATTTGCTAACTTAGGCGCGTGTAGTTGACTTAGCTAGTCCTACCGAACTAATTGCTTCGGGCAGAGACCGTTTCGCTATTGCCAAAAGTGAGTTACGAAACTAACGAGAATTTCCATTTCTTCGAATGGGGTTACTAATTGGAGCCGCAGATATCGATGCAGAGGAGGTAATATATCAAGATCTCGATGATCTTAAGGCGGCCTGTGCGGAGCTTGCACCACCAGATGGGCCTACTCAGTTTGAGGTTGGCGTATTCTGTGGCAAGTATTGTACGCCGGTGCCAGAAGGTTACTTCGAGCACCTGAACCAGGTGCGCGGTACGAAACGAAAGCATGCTACGCACGCAGAGATTTCTAGCAGCGGCCCAACGATAGTTTCGGGGGGTGGCCAGACCGGCGCTAATGGCTTAACACCACATGCCACGGCACCAGGGGATGAAAAGGAGTCAGCCGAAAAGCTGAGAAATGGTGCTATCTCACCTTTAATTCGGGAAGATATCAGTCTCCACAATGTAGCCACCGACCCTGAGCGGCGATGATACTTCGTATCACCTATCTACAAGAGATAGTATAAGATTAGCACTAGTTATTTTTAATCTACCATGATGCAGTGCTATCTAAATTGTCAACTTCAACATGGTATTCGTCTAGCTTAGTGTCTTATGAATAATAGGCTTTAAGCATCAGCTTAGAGGTTTAAACGTTGTATTTTGTGAACAAAATGAAGCCAACAGGGCAAGTTAGTTATTTCATTTATATATCAGTCCCCATTAAGAAGGTTGTGAGCCTACCCCCCTTTAGACTTACCACCGCAAATACATAGGAGGTACCTAATAATTTATACTCCAATTATTCGCAAATTTAATGACTAGTATAAATGTGCATAAATTTCCCTCTAAAGGATTTCATACAATGTTTCCCCACAATCCCAAAGCTTTTTTTTCTCTTTCCAATCAAGCTTCTATGTCTTATAGGGTCGTGACTTCCTTGTTCTTCTGGTCTGTTTTAAGGGGTAGACACGTGCTGATTGTTAGTGTGGGTTGGGTTATGTAAGTACCTTATGTTAGGTATGTTACGAGGTAGTCGTAGCTACCTACTATAGCACTCTTTCCTTAGGTAGGGGTAGACTACGGCTTCCCTTGTTAGAATAGCGTCTGTCTAGAGTTGTACAGTTACTTCATCTGCAGAGTGGGTGTCACCGATGGTGAATGTAGTTCCCTCCTTCTACCATTCTACTATTCTATTATTCTGTTGATACCCTCATCCCTCAATGTTAAAGGTTCACTTGATACGATTATATCACCGAATGACTTCTCATATTCAATTTCACATACCTCTGACCGACCCAGTATCTTAGGTGCAAACATTACCTACGGTATCGGTATCATCTGGTTATAACTGAAACGCCGGAGCCCCTTTAAACTTTGAGCTACTCATTACCCCCGTACCTTTGTCTTTTATTTGCCATAACTATAAACTATAAACTATAAACTATAACCTAACACCTCTAATCTTATTTTATTTATTTTTACAACTTCAAGAACTCTAGATCTGACCCTACTACCAACATATACCTATCTTCCGCCGTATATCAGTTGCCAATTCTGTAATCTGCTGTCTCGTAATCCCGTCAAGCTATATATAATTCAATATAATCGACACTCCTATAGATATACGACCGTACCTAGGATCTATATAAGATGCCGAGACGTGGTCACAAAGCACGCGCTGCGCCAATCAAAGGGGGGTGGAACTTGCCTCATGGTATGGGTGTTTCGTTGATAGCTAAGAGTCAAGAGGCACAGTCTCCTATTCCAACACCCCCTATTGCGGAGTCACCGCATTCCACCGAGTCGTATCCTGTCGGCGAGTCATCATCTTCCCTAGATTCGACACCCACAACTGTAGCTCCTACTCCCGAAACAGTTACATCGGAATCAGCGCAAAATTCCCTTTCGACAGCCCGATCTACTGAGCTTAGTATAGTCAAAAAAGAGACCACGCCTCAGAGCACTAGACGGAAGATCATCATCAAGATCAAGGTCCCAAAACAAATCGATGTAGATGAAGTTCTACAGTCTAATAAGAAACTCGCCTTGGAGCCTAAGGAGGTCGACGAAGAGTATAATGTAAAAAGTATTGACGCGGTTGCCGTACAGTATACCGGACGGCAATTACGACCAAGGAAACCAAAGCCAGTACCCGAAGTATCAAACGTCAAAGAGGACAATCATGATTCTGCTGTGTTGGATCAGATTCCCTACGAGCAAATTGATAAGGGATTATCCAAAAAGCGAAAGCGAGAATCCAAGACTAACCTTGCCGCGGCCGATGAAGGAATCAATGCTGATATTCTCTTGCCGGAACCGAAGAAGACGAGAACTCGGGCTGCAAAGACGAACGAGGGAAATTCACAAAGTATAGCCAAGAAGACGAAGGATAACCGATACGGTCTGATGCCACAAGGCGAGAGCCCTTTTCCTGAGTGGCTAGCACCAAGCAACGAACAATGCGAGGAAGTTCACCGTTTGCTTACAGAGATGCATGGCGAGGTCAATGCGCCTCAAGTCATTTCTGCCCCTTCACTCGAGGTAATGGGGTGCGGTGAGGTCCCCTCCGTATTGGACGGATTACTTAGAACTCTTCTAAGTGGTGCTACAAGAATTGAGCATATAGACATGACGTTGATACCCTTGGCTGAGAAATACGGTGTGTCAAACGAAGGAGTCGGAAAAGAGAGCATAAACTGGGATAATGTCAGGCTCGGAACTTATCAGGAGTTGGTTGATGCACTTTACTCCGGGGGATTGGCAAATATCAAGGCCAAGCATATTAAGGCTATTCTCGATACAGTATACCAGGAGAACGTGGAGCGACGGGAAGCCCATTGCCAAACCAAATCCGATACACTTGAAGAGAGGGAGACGAATGAACAAAAAGGCGCCAAGGTCCGGGAGACAGATTCGGATGAGCTCTCCCTTGAACACCTCCGTGGCTTATCGAAACACGAAATCCTAAAAGCACTCACGAAATATCCCGGGATTGGCGTTAAGACTGCGGCATGCGTCATTCTCTTCTGCTTTCAAATGCCCTGCATTGCTGTCGACACTCACGTCTATAGATTTTCCAAATGGCTTGGATGGGTACCAAAAAATGCCAGTATTACCGACGTCTTCAGTCATCTCGAAGTCCATTGTCCGGACCATCTTAAGTATGGCTTACACCAGTTATTTATCCGACATGGACAGCGTTGCGGCAAGTGTAGCTCAAGCACTGCCGAGGGAACAGCAGATTGGGATTTGCTTCCCGAATGCCCTTTAGAGAGCCTCCTTGATCGCTATGATAAGAAACAGTCAAAGGCTAAGTCGAAGTTGGCTAAGGAAAGCAAATCGAAAGATGAGGAAGAAGATAAAAAGGGAGAGTGAGAAGAATCTATTATTGACGAGTCCTAATATCGCCAACAGCACTGATGTGGCGTCGATTCAATGTATCGGGGCTGTGCTTTCTCTATCGGACTACCATATGCCATTTATCGGAGCGGGTGTTTTCATTTATTTGCTTGTCCAAAATGCTATCCTGGGAGAAAGAGTTAGGTGGATTGATTTATATTACACATTTGCAGGTTCGCAACATGATCAACGACAATGGGGCATCCAAATAGAATAGGATTGCAGAGGTAGCTAGCTGCTAGATGCAAAGATGCGATGGGATTATCTACTAATTTAAAGCATTAAAAATTGTGGCATATTCAAATGGCATATTTTATGTGATATGGGTTGTAGGACTGTCGTGCATAGAGGGGAATCGGGGCAGCTTATTGAATCTATTCCCACGCCGACGGGTTGGCGGGGCAGCGGTGATACCTATTACAAGCATTGAAGGTTTAATTAATGAACCCCCCCAGCCCCCACCCTCATGCAGTTGCATGCAGTTGAAAAGCGCGTTCCTAAGCGATCTTGCCGGTTTAACTTTATCTGGCGTAATTGGTTTCTTATCGATAGGACACATTGGCACGGTTCCCCAAAACTTCACGCGCCAGAAACCAGCTGCATACCTCTATCACTCACATCTCCTGGTGCTTGCTTGCTAGCTTCTCCTTCTAACAATTTCACGCGACAGTATCGCCCCCTTTCAACTTCTTTCGCGCGAGGCTATGTCCACCAGTACAGCAGAGCGTATTTGTTGTACTAGCCTTCGCCTTTAATTTACTTCTTTTCCTTTGTCATCCTCCATTCGTTTTAATTTCTGGCCAAACATCCAAACCTCCCGCGTAAATCCAATCTACCTACGTAATCCTATTTACATGAATGAAACACTAACCCTTTCGCTATTTAGCTTTAGACCTTGCAAGGTTCCTAAACCAGACGGAAGGGCGAGGAAACTTAGTAGTCATCCTTCAAATTCTGCTCGCGACGTTTATTTGGGGTCTGTAGCGACATGCTCCAATACATTTCACCATGTCTGTCCCTAAAGTACTTATGAATGCTTTCGATAATTTCCGCGAGTTCCCCGAAACTTCCCATCTATGTTGCCCAAAAATCTCCGACGAAGATGACGAGATCTACGACGACCCAGATGCCCCGAGTAAAATTAGCCCCGCTGAGAAGCAGCAGAGGATTGAGCAAGGCAAAGACCGGTTGAATCAGACGTATATATGTTCGTTGGTATTAGGACTAGCCGAAGACTCGGCAGGAGATCTAGGACAGGAGTTCGGTTTACGAACCAACAACTTCCTGAGGCTCTGTCCAACTTGTGTACGCAACTGGCACAAGGGGCGTAAGTCCTTTCTAAAGGACATATCCTTGTGAGGTCTTTCCCGATTACATTTCCAGAGGAGCATACTAACCTACAGAGTAGGGCTTATGACGATAGCGTTGTATCCGAAATGGAAGATCGCCTGAACCAATTCGACTTTAGCCGCATCACCCAAGGCCTCGAAGCCGCCGCCGAGTTTATCAATGCTCATAATGGCGTAGCCGGTCAGAGCACTTTCCTTAAGGAGGAGAAAGAGGAGCTCCTTATCTCTCTATACGAAGCTATTTGCTGCATGCCATACTTGAGCCTGCCGGAAAATCGAAAGCAGTTTAATTTCGTCTTCGAGTCTATTCAAAAACGAAAGATCCTTAAGTTGGATGAGATTCTACCTACCATGACCTTTTTTCTCTTCGACGAGAACGAAATCCGCAATAGATTCGCTGTCCACACCTTCTCTCGACAACCTTCCATTACAGCCGAAGATTTCGAGTGGGCAATTCATGACAACCTGGCTAATGCCATCCTAAAAGCCAATGACATCAATGCCTCTGACCAATTTTTGCTTCGGTTTTGGCAAGGCTTTCTTCATATCCTCAATGTGCTTGATGAGAACCTTGTGTTCCATTCCCTGCGGGCAATGTCCGTCCAACCAAGTATATATGATTTAATGCTGGCACAAATGCCTCGCATCACTTCGGTTCAGGTCTTAAAAGTCCTGCTCAAGGCCTTTTGTTCTCTTATACGAAAGTCGCCTAAAGCATTCTGGGACGCGTATAGCCATTATTCTCACACGGCCGTTGCTGAACAAATACTAGGTAGCCCTGCCTTTAGAACTCTGCTCACCCAATCTGGAGAGCACGATTTGATGTTGGAAGGGCCCGCGGCTATTTCTTGGGTAAAACCTTTCGTAGAATCGATTCCTACCCACCAGAAGAGTGATGCCTGCGATTCCCTTTTGCATCACTTCCTACAAAGATATGCCCAGGACCCAAGCATGACGCCTGGAGGGAAGCTGGCTTGTACTCTCGCGGCGGTCGAGGCCCTATCTTCTACTCTGGAAGCATTTGTCTCACCAAGCTACAAGTTGCACGCTGGTTCTTCTACCATTCACACGAACACGGCCTTGAATCTCACATTAAAATATAAAGATCTCATAATCCAACTGGCCCAACTTCCGCCTAGTGACCGGCAAAATGCCGCTATGTCACAACTCGGCTTGTCCGTAATCAAGTTTGCCCTTGCCCTGGATTCCCGTATCACCGTCGAGGAATTTAACGCACTCCAGAATAGCGATAGCCATGTTCAACGGGAGGTTAAACGAAATTCATCAGGGATTTGGGAGGCGTTTTTGGAAATTCTCCAACCCGGTGCAGATGACCTAGCCAGATCGATGTTAGTTGCCACAGGCCCGTTAATTGCCGTAGAGATCTTCCGGCCGCTGAAGAGACAATCACTATCTCCGACGAAAAAGGAATTCAATATCGAATTTCAGAAGACGGCTGAAGTTATTGGGCGGGCCATTGAAAGATTGGCCGACTTTAGCGAATCCGCGCTTCAGAATCTTTGCCAAGATAATGCCACGATTTTGCCCATCGTGGCGGCTCTCGTTCATGGCGAAGAGGTTATAAGCACAGCTGGTGCCTCTTTTATCAAGACAGTCACCGGTGAGGTAAGAAGAACGGACGCCGTACTCAAATTACTAGAGAGTTACTTCGTACACGCCTTGTCTTCCTACACAGCAGTTGTCAACGATGTCAACGAGAAAATGTCCCTTTGGTCGCCACAATTTAATATTATTCGATATTCTAGAGATATTCTTAGCAGTCTCTGCGACCCAACGTCTGGCATACTTCGTTCAAAGGCTTTGACTGACACAGAACGTGAAGTTCTTGGTAATTGGTGGAATTCCCAATGGATTTTTCTTGATAACGCTTTTACTCAGACGGAAGACTGGAGCCGATTGATCGATATGGAAACTATGAAGAATTTTTGTCGCGAGGCCATGGAACTTGCAGAGGCTCTTCTAGCACAGGATGGCCTTCTGGCCTCTGCCTTAAGCCCCCAGTCCGCCCATTCCGCATCGGTTGATAACAGTGAACAGCCCGAGAAGCAGGCTATGAGAGACATTCTCGAGCAGCCGCGCAAGTACTGTTTAGGGCTTTGCAAGATGCTCCGTCTGAAAGATCTGTATCTCGTTACGGTAATCGTCAGTGTCGTTGGGAAACTTATGAGACGACTGGTGGAATTTGACATGGAGCTGCCCTCGCAGGCTCTCGCTTTTGTCAAGAATACCTGCATTAAAAACAAAGATGGGAGATATAATACTCAAACGAACATGAATGAGCGTCAACGTGCTGAGTTAATTAGAGCTTTGGGAGAGGATACTCAAGAAGACGATATCCAGATTATTTCGGCCAGGAAGAGCGAGCCCCTGAAACGACAAACTAAGCTTGATGCTTGGTCAAAAGCGGGCCCCGAGACGTCAATGTCAACTAGTTCACAGAGAGAGAAAATAGCTGTTAGATCGAGCAAAGATGATATACGCGAGCTGCTAAAGACCTCTTCTTCGGAGAAGACCCGGGCCACCTTGGATCTGATGAAAGCTCGCCAGGCAGAGCGAAAACCCCCAGTCGTCGACGTGGCAGCTATCCGTGAAAAGCGTCAGAAGGAAGCTGAGGAAAAGAAAAGGAGAAACGCCGAAGTTATTGCTAGAGCTAAGGCTCTACGAGCTCCCAAACCACTCGTCGGTGGTGAAGGATCCGGTCTTCAGGGGCTTTCTGGTGTACAAGGCAAGGATCACGCACCGCAGAAGAGCGAGATTATGGTCAACTCTTCCTCGGAAGACGAAGAAGACGAAGAAGATGATGCTGAATTCTTGGCCAGGTCTGCTGCAGGGCAGAAAACTTCTAAGGGCGGGCAATTTGTGAAACTTAATGTGCGGCTACCGGTGAAGAAGGTAAAGATCCAACGTTCTGCAAAGGATATGCGGGCGCGATTGATCCCTCCCATGGACGTTTTACATCAGGCTATTCTCGAATGGGACATTTTCCACGAAGGCAGTGACCCCCCGAACGGCATAAAATGCTCTCAGGTCTCTAATTCGTACGGAGACCCGCGGGAGTACAAAGAAACATTCTTGCCGCTTCTCATCAATGAAGCTTGGAGATCTTTTGTCACGGCTAAAGACGAAGCGACCTCAAAACCTTTCGGAATCAAGGTTGTCAACCGGATGAACGTTGATAAATTTGTCGAGGTCAGCACAGCTATGCCTATAACCGAAAATAAGGATAGGTTCCTATCAGAAGGAGATATCATCCTGTTCTCACATGCCTCAAATCCATTGGAAGCAACAGATGAGTTACACTGCCTTGCACGGATCTGGCGTGTCCAGTTTAAGAACGGCAATTTAGAAGTACAATACCGCCTGAGCGGTCGGGCTGGCCCTATCCTATCCACCTTGATGCCTCAAGCCGAGCTCTACGCCGTGAAGATTACGAACATGACTACAATTGAACGTGAATATGCTTCTCTGGAAAGTCTTCAGTATTATGACTTGATGCCGGAGGTGCTAGAGGCCAAACCTTCACCTATGCTCAAATTTAGTCAGGAGGCGATTGATCAAGTCATGCAGAACTATCAACTCAATCCAGGCCAGGCAAAGGCAATTCTTAATGCGAAAGAGAACGACGCATTTACACTTGTCCAAGGGTAAGCACAGAGAATGATGGGGAATCGTACTGGAAGTCTAGCTAATTTGTTACAGTCCGCCGGGAACGGGTAAAACGAAAACAATTGTAGCCATGGTTGGCGCTCTTCTAACAGGTAGCTTCTCTACAACTAGTGGCACGGCTATCAAGCGTCCTGGAGGGGGCAATCCAACAGGCGGTAAAGGAATGGCCAAAAAATTGTTGGTCTGTGCCCCAAGTAACGCTGCTGTCGACGAATTAGTATTACGTCTTAAGGGTGGCGTCAAATCAAGCACGGGCTCATTTCATAAGATTAATGTCCTACGTCTTGGCCGCAGCGATGCCATAAACGCGGCCGTAAAAGACGTCACTCTAGACGAGATGGTCAAGGCTCGCGTCGAGGGCACTGCAAACCAGAATAACGGGCCCAGCTCACGGGATTTGATGCACCAAGAAGCTGGTCAGATCAAGTCGGAGTTGGCTGAACTACGACCACAACTAGAAGCAGCAAGGGCTGTCGGAGATCGCACACAGATTAATCAGTTACAACGAAAATTCGATGAGCTAAAGCGCCGTCAGGCCCAGATTGGCGCCAAAATTGATGCTGACAAGGATAGTGGAAACACAGCCGCGCGAGAGAGCGAAATTCGACGACGTCAAATTCAACAGGAGATTCTTGACTCGGCTCAAGTTCTATGCGCAACACTCAGCGGTAGCGGACATGAGATGTTCAAGAATCTACAAGTTGAGTTCGAGACAGTGATCATTGATGAAGCGGCCCAATGTGTTGAGCTCAGCGCGTTGATTCCTCTGAAGTACGGTTGCTCCAAATGCATCCTCGTTGGAGATCCAAAGCAGCTTCCGCCGACAGTACTCTCACAATCTGCTGCGCGGTATGGATACGACCAGAGTCTTTTCGTTCGTATGCAGCGCAATCACCCCGACGATGTTCATTTACTCGATACGCAATATCGTATGCATCCAGAAATCAGCCTGTTCCCTAGTCAAGAATTCTACGAGCGACGTCTCGTAGACGGTGGTGATATGAGGAAACTACGATATCAACCGTGGCATCGAAGTGCATTATTAGGCCCATACCGTTTCTTCGACGTGAAGGGTATCCAAGAGAAGGGTCGTAAAGGCCAGTCACTTGTTAACTTGGAAGAGCTAAAAGTTGCCATGCAATTATATGACAGACTAATAGCGGACTATTCGACAGTTGATTTCAAGGGGAAAATCGGAATCATCACACCTTACAAAGCTCAGTTATACGAGCTCCGTGAGCGGTTCTCTCGTCGGTACGGAGAGCAAGTCAAAGAGCAAATCGAGTTCAACACTACCGATGCTTTCCAGGGTCGCGAGTGTGAGATCATCATTTTCTCGTGTGTCCGAGCCAGTCCTACAGGCGGTATTGGTTTCATGACGGATATCCGACGTATGAACGTTGGTTTGACCCGTGCGAAGTCGTCGCTTTTTATCTTAGGAGATTCAAGGGCTCTAGTTCAGGGAGAGTTCTGGAATAAGCTTATCGAAGATGCCAAGGCCCGAGATCGTTACACTGCCGGTGATGTCCTCTCTTTGCTTAGGAAGCCCGGGGCCCAATTACCACCTCCTGACTTCGATATCCCACCTACACCGACGCTCTCAGCCTCGGATCGTCAGTCTACCAACACCAATGGTTCCAGGGAGGTGAATATCGAGGATCTGAAGATCACTTCGAACAGGTCCATGCAGGTTAATGATCAAGACGTAATCATGGAAGATGCCGCACCTCCTAATCGATTACCCAAAAGGAAGCATCAAACATCCCAACTGCCGCAGACCTACACTATCATCGAGCGACAAGGGCAAGGTGGCCCGACGGATAAGTCAGCGCAAATAGGATACGGGGGACTCAACGAGCGTGGCGAAAGCGCCAGAGTAATTAGTTCTTCCGAACGCCCTGTTATACACCAGTCGGGCCAAAAACGGCCTAGAGATGGCAGCGAAGACGGCAAAATGCCGAAGAGGGTATTATCACCTAAATCAACCGAAAAAACGTATAAATTAACTAACTCCTGATGACACAGATCGCCAGTGACACTCAACCGCGACCCCCACCAAGCGCTCCTCGAGCGATGCCGCAACCACAAGACCCATCGGCAATGGCCGTACTAGGTATTCCACCAAAGCACTCTTCAACGACGCGTAATCCATCCTCGGCACCTCCAAATGCCCCTAAGGTTCGTCAAATCGTCTTCTTGACTTTTCTGTAGCTAACAATGATTAGGGTCCATCTGGCTCCGTACCGCCTAAGCCGCTCCCACCAAGGAGAAAACCCACTTCTTCTGATCCTTTCATCAAACGCAAACCTAATAGACCGCGATAATATTCACAGGCAGGATACATTCATCTTTGTAGGGCGGGCGTCACAGGTAATAACGGTATCTAAACACATTCCCATGGCGTACGGCTTTGAGTTTTTCTAGTCATTGTAAATAACGCTATCCCATCTTGCCTTCACGGACTTTAATTACCTAGGTAGTCTTGGCGGGCTTTTTTGATATCGGGGCATCATGTCTTAATGCGATACAGGGCACGATTTCATAGAAGGGTTAGACTAGGTCGCCCTCATAGACTCAGTCTAGGGCTAGGTATAGCCTCAGGTGGTTAAATGTCTACGATGAGCCCGATTTAAGACTAGGGCTAAGCTGCCTACCTAAGGTAAGTAGACTGTGGTCTGGTCTATGATATCCTGTGACTTGATTCTATACATGAAATTTCCGGTGCTCGTGATTTAGCATTTTCAATTTGAGGCGATTTTTTTTCTATATATATATATATATATATATATTTTTCCTCTTAGAGCGCCTTCAATATAGGGCCTAAGCTGTAGGTATAACTTGCCTACCTGTGATTATATTGTACAACAATTTAAAAGAGTACCAATACTCTATCCAAAGAATAGGTACAGTAAAGCGTAATGATAATATAAGTGCTAATAAATATATAAGCCAATGATCGTACAATCCAACATTAAACAGCCATCCACTGCTAATATTAATATGTTTATAATTCCGTAAACCATATCCCCCTAGGTTATTCCTTTTCTAACTTTCCATTATAGCCGGGGGGAAAAGAGTGCGAGGAAAACGTATTATCCGTAACCTACTCCAGCACTCGGATCTCCTATACATAAAAAAACGCTCCAGGTGAAGAGCAAGTTCGGTTAGAGTGTAGGTAGTTTGGTTCTGATAAAACAAAGGAGATAAATGTAAAGGGAGGGTATATAATCCGACAACCGCCTAAAATTAGAAGAGATTAAAGACCTCGCTCTCGCCAAGAGTCGTCCCGCCCTCTTCCGCGCGTTCTCCCCCCTGACGCCGCTCGACGCCGTACCCTGCTGCTTCTTGCAGCTCGCGCATAAGCGGCTCCATGATCTCGAGGCTGCCTGTATCGGAGCTGTGTGTGCTGCTCACGCTGCTGGAGTAGCTTGGAATTCTACAAGCCCGAGTGCTAGCATGAGAGTAAGAGTGAGAAGGAGAGTGCAGATGCTCCTGTAGCGCTTCTAATACCGACTGGCGCACACCGGTACTTATCTCGCCGGTTTCTTCTTCCCTTCCCCTGCTCTGCCGAGTTCGCCTTGCTGTGCCCGAGTGATCTTCTCGACTGCCCGGCCCTTGCCCTGGGAGGCGCAGACTCCGAGCGTGATATCTCCGAGAGGCAGATCCTCTCTGCTCTTGTTGCGAGCGTAGGGCCTCAAGCGGGCTATCAGAACTTCGCGCAGACCTTAGCGATTGAGTCCGTCTCTCGTTGGATCTGCGATGACGATGGTGTTGTGTACGTGGCCGCGGAATGGAACTCGTTGCCGAGGAAGCGCTGCGCGGTAGGACCTGTCGGTCCTGCAGCAGCGTGTTTAGAGTCTCCATCAGAGAGACCAAAGACTGCACGAGGACCTCCTCGTTCCGCTCTAACCGACGCAATCGCTTTTCCATATCCTTCGTTCGACTCTCCTTCAGCCTCTCGTACCGTCGCAGGAGCTCCTGGCGCATCACCCGCTCCTCGGTCTCCTTTTGCTCCGCCAGCGCGTGGGCCGCAAATCGCTTCCTCCGCGCTGCCGCTTCCTCGTGTTCCGCCTGCCGCTCTTTTCGTCGGTAGTAGGACTTGCTGTCTTCCCAGGGCGCTTTGGGGGATTCCAGGGAAGAAGATGGTGGAGATGAGCTCGATAGTAGCGGCGCGCTGACGCTTCTCCCGCGTCGCTTCTGCGCACCACCCTCTGGTGGTAGGTATGGTGATTTGATTTGCACGCCCGGTCTGAGGGGGCCAATATCGGACATTTTCCCTGCCAGATACGGCCTGGACGGCGGTAACCCCGGTTCTTGATTCCACCGGCCCAGCACGGGAGACTCCGGCCCAGCATCTTCGGCCCGCGGCTCAACCTGGAGAAAGCGCGATGCTGGGCGCTGGTGCATCTGGGCCTTCAACTTCTCCATATCTCTCTTCTTCCGCTCTCTCACGCGGTCCCTGCGACCCGTCGCTCCTTCGGCCGCGGTAGACGACGATAAAATATTCGCCTGCACCGAGCGGTGGATTTTATTATTATTGGGCGGGGAGGGGAAGTTGAGATTCAGGGGCGAGTCGATCTCGGGTTTCGAAAGCGGACGAACTACTATGGGGACAGATTGGTGCGCCGTGACCACCTCGGCTTTCAGCAGCTTAGGCGAAGACTCAGTCGTCAGTAGACTCTCGGCAAATGACCCGCGGGGACCGGTTCTGCTTCTGTGCTCACTGTCGCCGTTATTCGAGCTGGGAGCTCTGCTGGCCACTGGCAGTCGACTCAACGTAGCGTTCTCTGCCGCTGCCGCTGCTGTTGTGACTGCTCTTTTGCTGGAAGTTCGTACCGGTAAAACTGATGCAGATAATAGGTTCGCCGAGAGAGTGTGAGGGGTGCCATGGGATTTGCCTGCTTTACTTAACGTGTCTTTAGCCATAAGATCATCGCCAGTTACCGGTCTCTTTCCAGTTTGTTTCGGAGGTGGAATTTCAACTATTTTAGGGACTATTCCAACTGTGAGCACTTCCAGATCGGGTGCCTTCATTCTTTCCTTACCCCGTCCTTCCGCGCTTCTTGTGCGAGATCGAGATTCCCGCTCGGTATACGATGCCGTCCTCCGGGCCCCTGAAGAATTCATTGGCAATCTGCTGGACATACTCCTCTGAGGCTTATTCTCCCTCTCTGGTTCTTTACCCTTCGCGAAATTGGTTCCTTCTTGTGACGCTACTGTTGAGAGTCCAGACAGATTCCCGGAAGGAGATGCAAGCCAACTGAGAGCTTCTGGATGCGTCAACGATCTTGGGCCCAAGGATGCTGAGGATTGCTGTTCCTGATTCCCAGTTACAGCCGTTGGAACTTGAGTGTCACGCTCAGAGGCTGGGTTATGTTCTGGGTCAACTCCCTGACGGGGATTCGTTTCCGTGGTCCTTGGTACGGGATGCTGCTGCTGCGCAGAAGCCATCTCATATTGCGAATGCTCAGAAGGGATCGATATAGCGATATATCGGTGACCGGTGATAGTTCTGGCGGAGACAGCTGTATCGGGAAGCTTGATGAGTGGTGGTTGACGCTTGCGGCTCTTCCGCCTTTTGCCAAAGACCTTAAACATATCCCATTTCCTACGGACTGAGTGAACGCTCACATCGTCGGGTATCGACATGAAATTGCCTGGAGGGGGCTCCCTGCGGAAAAACTCGGCGAGGTCCTCCTCAGGATTATCCCTCTCCCTGACGTCAGGACGGGGAACCATCTTGCTGTGAGGACGAGACGATGCTATCTCCTGCGCCTCAGAAGTTATAGTCCCCCTCCTCAGGTCGGATCCAGAGTGAACGATAGACACGATAGATGGCGGGTGGGACGCGGCCAAGTCTCCGTCGACTTCATGGTTTGTTTGGACGACGATTTCCTTTTCCACGAGAATCCCCAGGTTGATCGACTTTAAGAAGATGCTCTCCATACTAAAACCTTTTTTTAAAAGCGGAGACGACGGGATGATAGAAACTCTATTTCTCGAGCGACGCTATCATTCACGCGTAAAGGAGTGGCAATGGTACGCCAGAATTACTTCAACTCCTCCCGCCCCCTACCAGGTATCACTGACATGGCATAGAGCATGAGCTAGGTACCGGGTATATTCTGCCGCTCCGGCTATCCTGATCCGAACCTGATATTAAAACGGACCGCGTCGAGTTAGCTCGTATATAATCTTCGTGGAGGGGTAGTAACAGCGTATAAAAGATACTAAAACGAGACCCTGTCGACATCCAAGAAGAGAAGTAAGAGGACCAATGAAGGACACATAAAAGCAGCTAAAATGAGAATCTGGGCAAATAAGTGAAGAGTTCTAGAGAAAATAAGGAACCGAAGAAGTGAGACGGTAGAGTTCAGCAACTAACCGAGAAAGTGTTAATTCACCGACCACTCGTGCTAGACACGGCGACTGACAGGTAGGAGGAGCTTGTCTAGCAACTTGTGATCGACATAGTACCTAGGTATGTATGCGGAAGAGGGCTGGCTAGCCTGACTAGGAAAAGCAGAACAACTGAGTTTACAGCATTCTAGGTTCTGGCCTGGATGAGCGTGGCAGCGTTCACAGACCATCTCAAGCTGCCTCGAGTATGAGCGTTTGGGATGGAGAGAGAGCGAAAAGCAACGGGTAATAACAGACAAGGCAGCGCATTCCACCGCGTAGCAGCATAACAGGTAGATAATATCTCTGAGGTATGTTTCAAAAGAATGCAAATGAGATACGCCAGAGCCTTGACGTTTAGCCTCACGTCCGACTTCCTTTTTTTATACAGGTTAAACATGTGCAATCTACCCCAAGCCACTCCCGTAGAAATATTGATTGCTATGCTCGCACTCCAGAGTAGCAGTTACTGGGGACCTACAGTATAATGTCTGGTCTTTGACATTCGAATTTTCATTCAACCCATCATTGATACGCTTCGGTGGGCTTTTAGTATGCATATATTCTGCAGTCCTTCGTTTATAGAATCGGTGTTTTAGGTACCTAATGTGTATTGTTCATGATCGGACGAGTCATCATCGTGTCAAACTTTCGAGAACAGCAATTTTAAGTTTGACTCGAAGCTCCCGGGATCTTCGCGGGGATAATAGAGATCGACATCCCTGTCTCTTCTCACACTGTTCTTCACACATGTCTCAGCAACTTCCCGAGTTCGTCTTTTTGAATTTCAAAAGATATAGATTCTCTTCTATTTGGTGAATTTACATCTCGACCCTTTAGTGACACCTCCCCGAGTCAACAACCGCGGACCCTCGCCGAAACACCAACTTCCATCCTTCAACGTACCGTCTCCCGGCTTCGGCCCCGTGTGCGATTCAGCGTGCTCTCAAAACGACTTTGAATCACTCACCCGGAATCAAGCCATCCTTTTTTTTAACGTTTATCTGAAGAGTACACTTGGGGATTAAAAAAAAACCGAGCTAAGTAAGGATGAATTGTGACAACTATAATCCTCCCCTATAGGTACAGTAATATAATATATGGTGGCCGCAGTTGGTACCTAAAGTCATATGTCAACCGGCTTCTTGGCTCGTCGTTGTCTCTCACTCCCTTGGTAAGGAGAAAGAAGTATTGATATCTCTTGACATGATCAACGGCTAAAGATCAACTTTGGGTATGTGCGTCCAGAGAGAGAATATTTTGGCACTCATGCGAAAATCCAAGGGAGTGTATAAAGCCCAGGGGTTACCACGGCTACAAATGCCCAACCTGTGACCTAAATGAAATATAGGTACTAATGAGTTAACTTATTGGTCTCGAACTTGACGTCTATGTCTTCGGGTTGGTCTATTGTCTCATGGTGCTATTATTACTATGAGTCATGACAGTTAGCTTATCCCCGACCGACAGGAATATTTGTCGAATTATATTCAACTTTGACAATGCTTGAGGTGGGAGTGGGATATACGTCTAACAGGTACGCTGGTGATGGGTAAAAATCTAGACAACACGTCAACCAAACACGCTTAAAAATTATCGAGCAGTATATAGGACATATTAAACAAGTTGAAATAGCCAACAGGCACCTTCAAATAAACTGTGATTTTAATTCCTCATGTCTCAAGATATGCCAAGTCCACCCCCCTTGAGGCGTAAAATCTTACAGGGGCGACGGTAGTGATGAATCATCAATGATATATTCCTACCTATTTATCTAACCCTAATCTTTCATACCGGTAATCTATAACACGTAAAAGTAAGCCAAAGAGGGAGGATACGAGGATAACCAATGTCTAAGCCCTGGATCCTCGTCTCCCCCGCAAGCCGCGGGATCGGCCACGCCCTAACGCGGCACTTACTCCGGACCACGAGCGCGCCTATTCTCGCGACGGCGCGGACCGACCTCCCGGGCCTGCGGGCATCCGTGCTCGACGACCTATACCCGCCCTCACCTCACGAATCGACGAGAGAAAAAAACGAGGCGGCAATAGCTTCGGCGTCCGAACGACTGCACGTAGCCCGCGTCGACGTGGCAGACGAAGCGACGCTGGAGTCCGCCTCCGCAGATGCCGCCCGCCTCTTCCCGCCCGAAACGCACCACCTGCGCCTCGCGTTCGCGCTCCCTGGCGTCTTGTACTCGGAGAAAAGCCCGCGGGACATCGACGCTGCGCGCGCGCTGCACACCTTCCAGGTCAACGCGCTCGGCCCCTTGCTCCTGATGAAATGGTTCGGGTCTTTCCTCCCGCGGAAAAGCGCCGCGACATCCGCCCCTGCTGCCGAGCCCCTGATATTCAACCCCGACACGTCTATATCGAAACCTACCTTCGCTAGTAGTAGCAGCAGCAGTGGTAGTAGTAGTGGTGGTGGTAGTAAGGGTGGCCCCAGGCACGCGACGTGGCTCACGGCCTCGGCGCGCGTGGGCTCGACGGCGGATAACAGGCTGGGCGGGTGGTACACGTACCGGGCGTCGAAGGCGGGCGTGAACAGCCTGACGAGGACGTTCGACCACCACCTGCGGGCGCGGAGCGGGGACGCCGCGGCTGCCATCGCGTACCACCCGGGCACGGTGCGGACGGGGCTGAGCCGGGAGTTCTGGGACCGCGTGCCGGCCGGGCAGCTGTTTGATCCGCAGCATGCCGTCGAGCGGATGCTGGAGGTCGTGCGGACGAGGAATGTGGAGACGGATAGGGGACGCTGCTGGGATCATCGGGGCGAGGAAGTTCTGCCCTAAGGCTTGGATGAGGATGTATGTGGCTCATGGGTCCGAATACTTGGGTTAAGCCATGTAACCCAGCTCGAGATACTTCTTCCATCTACCCGTTACCCGTTTGTATAGGAGTAAAAGTGAGGTATCGATGGGCTCTTGGTAAGTCTACTAGTATAGGTATTACGCGTAAGCCGTCTAGTAGTCTTTTGGATCACGCGCCTTTCAAAGGCAGCCATGAATTATCAGAATTACGAAGAACAATTGCTCTCTCTCGAAGAGTACGCGAAAGCCATGCCGTTCATACTATACAGGTATATTAACAGTTCGACTTGACAACCGCCATTTTTGTGACCTGTGTTGGGTATCTTTGGGAAACCCCTGAGAACTCCATGCTATTATTTTTTGAGACTTAGAACGCGCCTACAGCTCTACATTTTGAAAAGACGCCTCATCACCAGGAGATGGCGCGGGGCCCTTGTCGTCTGAGCTGTCCTCGCCTTCTTTCTCCTTCTTTTTCTCCGGCTCCTTCTCCGGCTCTTTTTCCTCGTCTTTTTCTGCAGTTTGCGGTTCGCCTTTCGGTCGCAGTGCGACCTTCTGAGTGTCCTTGTCTTCGAACCTTACTTTCTGTTCGTTGGTAGCTTTTGCCTTCTCTTCATCTCCTCCCTTCTCTTCGTCATCTTCCTCTTCACTACTCTCGCTCTCCTCCTCCTCTTTCTTGGCTTCCGTTTCCTTTTTGGGGCTGGGTTGGGCTGGCGGTCGTGGAAGGTCTTTCTGGCTCTGTTGTGCCGGCGCGGAAGATGGCATTGGTCTTTGCGCCTCCTCGCCCGCTCCCGAGGGAGCAGGCCTTATAGCATCCAAGTAAAACTTGGTGACACCTAGGATGCGACCACTCTTCTCGCAAGCCTCGACCCACTCTGGTCGTACGACAGGAATATTCATCTCGACAGCTTTCTCCCACGGTACGCCGCGGCCCTCGGTGGTAACAAAATGGGTGGTATCAATGCGCACACCGTCGACGATCTTAGCACCGATGCGCTCAACGGCCTTGGAGAGTTCCTCGCGTGTATGGGGTGGTAGGATTCCCGTAGTGATGGTGATGCCGCTCAAGTCAGTCATCCTATGGGTGCGAACAACGACCTGCTTGCTGGCAAAGGTGCCAGCGGTGGTGCGCAGGACTAGATGAAAAGAATATTCGGTATCGACAGCGAGGCCACTAATCTTGGTGCTGTGCATGTGCAAGGGCCGGGGGATGTTCCCAGCTTTCTGTCCATTGCGATAAAGGGATAAGGAGATGAGGTCGGCCGTAGCAAGCTCGATAGGGTCCCACTCGAGGACTACAGAGGTCTGAGTAGCATTGCGGCAGCGTAGGACGGGCGTGCTGGGTTCAGACGCGCCAAAGGAGGAGAATATGCGATCTTGAAGGGCCGAGAATTGAGCCTCAGCTTTAGCTTCGGATTCGTGATTGCGAGAAACGGTGATGTCCACTATGGAACCAGAAACGATGTTTGGTGGTAATAAGATCGATGGGAATTCGATCTAGATATATCTATTAGATCTGATATAAAAGTGGATAGACGAATTGACCAAGTATTCAGGGTAAAAAAGCGTTTCTAAACTTGAAGCATCACATAATTGTAAATTGCGACAGGAAGGTCACAAAAAAAGAATAGATAAATCAGACATACCAAACGTTTATCGGGGGTTAGTAGAACAGTTACGCCGGCGTCTACTTTGCCGACAGTGAGAGAAACCAGCATTGTCAAAGAAGACAGTTAATGAGGTTCGTAATAAAGTGGGAATATAATGTCGAAGATGAAAGTTGTAGTGGATAAAGAGAGCTTGGTACGAGATCAATGATGGCACATGTTTATGCAGTCTGGAGTCTGGACCTCTGGCGTACTAGGCCTGCTAGGTTAGGTACCTACCTCCTAAAGGTATACCTCATAGGTACCCCGGCAGCCTGGCGGACTGGACGCTAGAGGTAAAAACGTGCCTGAGGCCCTAAGCTTGTACCTTATTATCCCTTATGTACCTAATTCCATAGACGTAGGTACGTATCTTCGGTGAAGTACCCAAGTACCTCCTCCTTTACAGGTTAGGTATTGCATCCCCGCAAATATCTTACTTGCAATAGGAGGTACTGTACATATGTGGCATGTGACAGACATATTTTCTATACATAAATATACTGGTTACTACTATCAACATACTTGTAGGTAACCCAAGGTCTGTATAAATGAATTTGCATTCTCAGCTTCATGGCCGAGCGGCAGCTTGGACATGTGCCACGCATTGTCACATCCCATTAGCCTATTGAACATAAGTTGGGGATAAGAGTGGGCGTTGAGAGTGAACATCATCTGTAAGCCCGGGCTCGGTTTTGTGCTTTGTCCTTACTACTACGATCCATCGTCTTCCACGCAGTTCTTGCGGACTGGCCCTTATTTGACTTCTGATTCTGGATTGGATTAATGAAAACACCGTACTTGTCCCGTGCGAGCATATTCTCAATGCCCGCCACGATCTTGTTGGTATGCTTCACAAGTTCTGGGAATTTGAGATTGCAAGCAGCCTTGGGGTTTCCGCAAATAAGGCTCACCGTCCCATGCATATCCACAATAGGACCATCCGTATCCATCTTCCTGCCGTCTCGATCATACCCGCGAGCAGCCAATGCATCCCGAAATGCATGCCGTAACCTTCTTGCTCCTTCTTTACACGGGAGAGGCGTTGTGACAGGAACAGAAAAGACCGAATACCACAGGGGCTGTTTTTTCTGGGCGATGTAGATATCAAAAATCGTCTTGGTAAAAGGTTGTTCATATTTGTCCAAGTATTTCAGGGAATGCTTGTTGAAGCAATGTTTCTCGGATATCATAACACCAATCCCGAGCGGATTCGGTGTCAACTGCACACCTGAAGCACGCCGCAGAACAGAAGGGAACGAAATTTGGTACTTTCTGCAGAAATCGAGGACATGTGTACCCGGCTGGATGACCCCCTCGGATGTTGGTACACTGAAGCTAGTAGAATAGTTTCTTGCTTGAGCGCTTTTGGAGCGGCTCTCATCCGTAAACGTAAATCCTCTCTCATTGCTTACGCGTCTTTGGAGAGTAGCATACCGCTCATACTGTCCATACCGTCCATAATATCCAAGCCAAGGTTTCCCCAGGGGCCGGGAAAGACGCAAGCTTGTCATGATTTACCTAGGCAGTGCCCCGTCTAACTGCCCCCTCTCATAGCTCCAAGTAGCCGAGTGAGCATAGAGGATGGTCAGCACGGGCGTTGTTGATGGATGTGTCAGAGCAAAGTGGCGTGGTTTGAAGACCTTTTACTATGTAAAGTTATGATTCAGTATGATTCAAATTTAAAATAGCCTTGTAAATGTAAATTTTCCAAATGTTCATAGCACTAAATTTAACTAGCGAAAAAAATAAAGAAAAAAAAACTGTATCTGTATTAACTTAGGCAGGTAGGTAGGTATTGATTATAAAGAAATACCATTACTTAACAAGTTAGTCGGCGATAAGCTAAAGTATCTTTACTTTGGGTAGTACAGCCACTTAACAATATAACCTTCAATAGCCAATTAAAAAACTTGTTGAGAAATTAGCTTATTGTGTATAAACCGCGATTTCGTCCAATAAAGTTTTGAAAGGAAAAATTTAGTGGCCATAGGTATATGTTTGCCCCATTATTACTCCCTGACCGTTAGTGCGAAGGTGATATTTAAATGCCCCTCCCGTCACCAACGCATTTCTTGACCTTGACAACATCCGACATAAAATCACCAAACCCCGTCGAAGTCTGAGATATCTTCTCAACTACAATCTTCAACATCAAAAATAACAAATCGCATACCATTTTATACCAGATAAATATCACAGGATCGTCTAATTTTCTGTCAATATGCCTAAGAACAAGGGAAAGGTGCGTACAACGTCCCCACGGCGACCCCGCCACGAGTCCTAATTCATATATCATTTTCCATGGTTTCTGTCTTGTCAAACTTGTGTGAACTCGATCTCGCCCCCATGATAACAACCATCAAAAAGCAATACTCTTCACAGAGAAATCATAAATTTGGCTACTTCACACAAGCTGGCCACAGTTTCCACATTCTATACACCTCAATACATTTGTCGCGGGTCGTAAAACAGATATCTGAGTTTACTAACATTCGGTCAATAGGGTGGTAAGAATCGTCGTCGTGGAAAGAACGAGAACGACAACGAAAAGCGCGAGTTGACCTTCAAGGAGGAGGGGCAAGGTACGTCGTTTCCATCTCCCCATCATCTATTAAAGGCCCGCCGGTCAAAAATAAAAATAAAAATTGTATTTGCTAACTGAGGCGAAAAAAAATTATAGAATATGCCCAAGTAGTTAAGATGCTTGGCAACGGCCGTCTTGAGGCGCAATGCTTCGACGGCGCGAAGCGACTGGCACACATCCGTGGCAAGCTGCGCAAGAAAGTCTGGATTAATAACGGTGACATCATCCTACTGTCCCTACGAGATTATCAAGACGAGAAGGGCGACGTTATCCTCAAGTACTCGGCCGACGAGGCCCGCTCCCTCAAGGCCTACGGCGAGCTCCCCGAGAGCGCCAAGATCAACGAGACCGACACCTACGGCCCCGGCGACGAGGGCGAGTGCGGCTTCGAGTTCGACGAGGACCGCGATTCCGAATCCGACGAGGCTGGTGGTGCTGGTGGCAAGGAGGTCGATATTGACGACATCTAGTTTCTTCCCATCTTTCCTCCTTCCTTCTCCCACGTGGATTGGGAAACAAAGTATCACTCACCTGGTCTTCCGGTTTTGGCTACTTCCCTACAACAAACCTACTCTATAGCAAACTTTGGAGACCAGAGGAAAAAAGCCTGTCTTCTCTCTCAAACCCGGATTGTACCGATTCCCCCCCTTGTGGTCCGGGTTCCACGACAGTCGGGTGGTACGGCTCTGATGGCAAGCAAGCGGGCTAGGTACATGGTGGGAGAGACGTCATGGGCCTTGGTCGTTTGGCAGCTTAGATACGATGACTATTTTATTTTTTCTGCTACTAAATGTCATTATCTTTTTTTTCTCTTTTTTTTCTCTTTTTCTTCCAGTCTAGCTCGGTGGTTTTTCTAGCATTGACGAAAGACGGAGAAAAAGGGCTTTACTGGGACATGGACGGCATAATCATAATCAATCCGCATCGCGAGGAACGACTGTCAATACGTTGTTAGTTTGTTGCTACTAGCTTTCAATACAAATGCCTCTTTTCTCAACGTTGCTCTTGTTACTAAATTTCTATTCGTGACATGATGCCAATTCAATTTAATCTTGGTAAAATCTTTTCCCGTAATTCGCATTTATCTCTAATAAAGCTATCAATTCTTTCACTTCTCTATTCGAAAACTTACACCAGGCGGCTCCAAGCTCTAAGTCGATGATTGATATGCAATCAACCCTCAACCCTCAACCCGCCCTACCTGAACCTGAACCTGAACCCGTTCGACGTGCTCGAGCCCCATATTCTATAAATTCATTCTGCGTATAGGCTCACCGGACGTCAACAGCAAGGCTTCCAGGTTCCTAACGAGTCTTCCTCCACTCCCATCCGTTAAGCGATATATACCGCTGCTACCTTATTTACTCTGCCCTCACCTCACCTGACTGTAGAACTCGGATCCACTACAGCGAACAAAACACCATCCTCCTTCTCCGCCTTGCATGCTTGGTTTGATGGTACGTATTTGTTTGTTTGTACATAAATAGGTACCCAGCTTTCAAGGCTTTTCCTTTTAATAAAAGGACGACTGGTTGCCCAGACAGTTACGCTCATCTAGTCCCTTCGCAACCCATTGGAAGATAACCTAGCAGATGAAGCTCTCCTTATTTGCAAAACCATCATCTTCCTAGGTTGCCTTACTAATAACTACGACTAGCCAGACGTTTTCGATTCCTTTCTCTTCAGACCTACTTCGCGCCCCAAGCTCGTAAGCTAAGTCTATCCTATAATAACAGGATAACTTCTGCTTTCTTTCGGATGAATCTTGTGAATAAGGCTCTACCACTCGTCATCACTATTCTCATCATCTTTGGGAATGTTAGTATCGACACGTCAATCTGAGCCGAAATCGTTGGGAACTTACCGCTATCACGAACTCTTTCCTTCCGCTTCTGCAGAGCTGCAGCCAACGCATCAGCCATTCCGCCTCCGGCTCCTCCGGGGGCAATGCCTGCGGGTGGCAATCCACTACCGTGCGGCCCCGTATCTGCCCCTCCAGGAACTGCAGCTGCGCTCCTATCTCTGATTTGACTTCTATCCACCTTTTTGAGTGATGCAATTCCACCGGCCTTCTGGATACTTTCAAGCATTGCAGAGCGCCCAGCATCCGCGGAGGGGACCCCAGGCGGCGGTCCAGCTGGAACTCCGGAAGAGTAGCCTGAGTCGCGATTGGGAGGCGGTAGCGGCGGTGCTGCTGGTATTCCAGTCGCTGGTAGCGGCGGTGGCGGCGGCGGAGGCGGGGGAGCACCTGCACCCCCAGACGGAAGAGGAGGTGGTGGAGGTGGAGGTGGAGCACTAGAACCAGAGCTAGCACCGGGTAAGGGTGGTGGCGGCGGTGGTGCCGATGACTGAGGCAAAGGTGGTGGAGCCGGTGCGCTTGGTGGTGGGACTGGCGGCTGAGGTGTGCTTCGTGGAGGAGGCGCGGGCGTTGGCCGAGATATGGCAGGAGGTGGAGGTGGTGCTGGTGCCGGTGGCGGCGCCGTAGTAGTTGGAGCAGGAACCTTCGGAGGGAGAGTCGGAGGAAGGGTGGGAGGAAGGGTAGGAGGGAGCGGTGGTGGTGCAGACTGAGGTTGCTCCCTTGGTGGTGGAGGCACCGGACCTCTAGCCGGGGGCGGAGGTGCTTGGTTATGCCTCTGGCCAGTAAAGACAGGAGGCACGCCAAATTTGTGTCCCGAGGGTTTCTCGTCGTGGTCTTCTATCGGTGTTTTCGGCGGTCGTGGGGGAGGTGCTGGCCCAGGTGGAGCACGGGGTGCGCTATCGGTATGTGCATATTTGCCAGCGTCTGGTAACGGAGGAGGGGCATTAAATCGGGGTCGAGGTGGTACTGGTTCTTCTGGCGGTGTTGGCTCTCTATGCACAAGCTCTATCTTGCCGGACCTGCGAGGTGCAGGAGGTGGTGGAGGAGCTCCACGACGCGAGCCTGACGATGTTATACTTTCCGACACGGCGCGACCTCCTCCAGGAGGAGGCGGTGGTGGAGGAGGGGGCATGCGACCATGGCCATACGCATTATACCCGTTAGAAGTCGAATTACTGGGTGGTGGTGGAGGCGGCGGAGGTGGTACTGGCGTAGAACGTGATGTCCCGTTTTCAGATAATCCAGTGCCCTGTTCTTTCAAGAACTCGACAATAAAGTCTTGGTTTTCCCTGATGAACTCGTCCGTGAGGCCCTGTTCCGAGAGGAAATTTCCGAAATTATCTCGCCAGTTAGGATCATAGGCCTCTAACTTAGCGAATTTAGAGGCCGGCTTGTGGAAACCATTAACACTTCCGGAAGAGGCTCTGGCATGGGAATGAGCAGGTGGGACGCTGCTTCGAGGTGATTCGGGCGGTGTGGGGGCTGAGGGCGCTGAGGTGTGCCTATGTCCTCCAAATATGCTTCCAAAGAACCCAGTCTTGTGTGGTTGTTGCGTCGTCCCGCCAAAAGGGGTATTTTTTGTAGCCTTGGACGCGTTCTTCTCCCTATCGTCCATCTTCTTTTTAAATTGTTTGGCTTCCTTCTCGTCAACGAAAGATAGACCTGCTAGGCAGTCTTCGAGCTCGAAGGTATGGAAGAAGGTTCGGTCCTGGTTATAGGACCAGTTCTCAAATATTTCCTGATCCCATATTACACCCCTACCGGCGGACTAGACGTTGTCAGAAAGAAATAAGGGGTGCAATGCATATAGTCGAGCGAAGACTTACAGATACGTCAACCAGTTTCAACCAGTACGTATTTCCTACGAGGTCGTTGCAGAGCACGATAGCTCCTTGTAGGCCTGTGTAGGTCCATTTTGAAGCATTCGGGTATGCGACGTACAATCTCGCGACGGCTACAGCGTGAATCTTGTTGGTATGTTTCGGTATTACTCGTCGAACGGTCTCCTTATCCTCTTCGCTGAGGATGGACGGCATGGTGACAGTGGTAAGGAGGTTGTGAGATGATGTAAGGGAAATAGGGGAGAGGAAGAGAAGAGATCATGAGAAGTCAGTCGGTCACTATCTCCAACCTTCTCTAAAATTGAACGTAGAATGATCCAGTAAGTACTGCTAATACTAAACAATCATTTGAATTGACATATGCAATTGGAATATAATGTACGAAGTTAGTGGACGCCTCAAGGCTGCCTATTTGCGCCTGGTGGGATTGGGTAACATGAAGCGTGCGCGGCTACCCGTAGGATTGCACCGGAAGTTGGCTTCAAGATGCGGTCGGTCGGCGGTTACGCAAGTTCGGGGTGCCAAGTAACAGTTCAGTTGGTTGGTTACGTTGAATGTCGAAAAGAGAGGCGATTGGGGGGAAGGCAACCGAATTTCAGAAAGCAGATCCAGCTGATCCTTACTCGAAGAAACAGGGAAAATATGGGTTGTAATTTTTTTAAAAAGAGAAGAATTTAGTTTAGTACCTAAGTTAAGCGGAGGAATATTGTATGGGAAGAGAAGAGGTTGTTTCTTTTTTTTAATTGAATTTAATTCATTTATCTCGTGAGTGACATTGTCCTCCTTAGGTACTGTTGTAGTAATTTCGGAATAGTGTTTCGTGACAATGTACATGAGGTCCGACATCATCAAGCGTTGTCTGACTAAGCTAGCTTAGAGAAGGACTTGAACCAATTCGAAGGCTTGTCGAAAATGAAGCAAGCAAGCCACAAATAAGCATAGCCGCATTCCGGCGTATTTTGATGCCCCACTCCAGCTATTTGGAAATGCCCCGCCAAAAACACGAGTTGCTCATCTCAATTTCATTCACCTCTTCGGATAAAGCGGTCAATTGAATTCCAAGCTCGGTAAACCAGAAACCAGAAACCAGGGTATAAACTACCAAGTATTTATGCCCGAAGGCCATCTTCTCCAGTACCTAAGGCACATACATACATACCTTAATACACATAGCCAGGAGCAATTAGGCAGCCATATTTATTTAATTGAGATGAAGAATACCAGGTAGGTTGGATAACAACAAGTATTAACTCAAGTACCTTTTATTTGTCATGATGCTTGTTCATTACATACGGCGTTCCCTCCCCCCCGCAAGTGGTCTCGAGACCCAGTTCGCTGTTCCAGTTCAATACCATTACATCTCGCTATAATTTAACAACTTCCACTATTACCACAGACTTTATGTGCATTCACATACAGGTCTCTATTTGTTCAACTCTTTAGCCTTGGCTTGCCTTTCTTCCTTAGTCCCTTCTTGCTCCGGCATGCTTTGAGGGATGACCGGGCCTGGGTGCGCGTTGTGGGCTGCGAAAAGCTTCGCGCCTTGAGGCTGAGCTGCTTCGCTAGCAGGTTTCGGCTGGGAGTTGGCGTCAGTCTTGCCGGTCTGTTTATATTACTCTGTTAGTTACTATGTCCCTTAGGTACTTTGATATAAAACTAAGGGATAATATATTAAGAGCTGTACCTGAGCAGTAGGGAACGTGTCTGACGGCATTTTGGTTGATATAGAGAGCTGAAGTAGGTAGGTAAGTCTTTGAATTTAGGCACCTAGTTATTATGGTAGAATGTTCTGGGATAGTAGGTAAAACGAGAATTTAGTATTGAAAATCAAGGAAATATCAAACCCGCTCTGTTGGGTTTCGATTTACCTTTATATACGTGCCTAACGACAGATCCGGGTTGATTTCCAAAGGTTCTTGGTGGTGTAACCGTCTTTCAATGTTGATGACGTATTTTAGACTTTCTAGAACTTGATGGCCCGCAATTGCCCGTGACCCGGCGTTACAACGGCGGCAGGTGATTCTCAACCCCGGATTTGCCAAAACGCGACTTGCAAGTGGCGTGCCTGCCTGCCTGCCTGTTAAAACCAATGAGACCAACATTTACCTAGCTCCAAATTAGGTATTCAACCTTACATGTACCCTAACCTTACCCGGCCTACGAAGTACACCACATACGTAAACAGTTACGTACTACATCAGATCTCCAACCATTCAACCATTACAACCGTTCACCGTCATACCTAGGATGATGCTATATCCGAATATGCATGAGGTCCCTTGAATCCCCTTTCTGTCGCGTTTCTCTCCCCCTTCTATCCAAGACGTGCCCCGCATGTCTGCGAATAATGCTCCTCAACCGGTGAAGCTCTCACTGCCTCTTGTACGATCCACTGGCCTTTTGTATGCGTAATTCGTAATTTGCTCAACTGTTTTTTTGATAATAAAAATTAGGAATACCAACAACATCTCTTCCAAGAACTACGCGCCGAAGATGAACTCGTCGTCATTGCCAAAGGCCTCGGCCTTATGCGCCTTGTCACCAACTTGTTACATAGCTACGACGCGGCTGGAAATAACTTAATAATAGTCGTAGGCGCCGAAGAGAGGGAAAATGCTTGGATTGGAGAAGCTCTCGCCGAGGCTGCTGCTATCAGCATGGCTCCTAAGGCCAGAGGTCTGACAGTTGTGAATACCGACTTCACCAGTGTTGCCGCCAGAGAGAAGATGTACGCTAAAGGTGGCATATACAGCATTACGTCCCGAATTCTGGTCGTCGATCTATTAACGAGTCTCCTCGATCCGGACACCATCACCGGACTGATCGTCTTACATGCCGATAAAGTGATAGCCACGTCTCTCGAGGCTTTCATTATCCGGGTATATCGTCAGAAGAATAAGAATGGGTTTCTAAAGGCCTTCTCTGATAACCCGGATCCTTTCACAATAGGCTTTTCGCCGCTGGCTACCATGATGAGGAATTTATTCCTCCGGAAGACGTCATTATGGCCACGATTCCATATGACGGTCGCGGCGTCCCTCGAGGGCAAGAAGAAAGCAGAGGTTATCGAACTTGAAGTACCCATGACAGATGCTATGAGGGACATCCAAACAGCCATTATGGAATGCGTGGAAGTTAGTATCCACGAACTGAAGAAGGGTAATTCCGGATTGGAGATGGACGACTGGAATCTCGACAGTGCGCTTCTAAAGAATTTCGACGTCATGGTCAGGCGGCAGTTAGATCCGAATTGGCATAGAGTCAGCTGGAAAACAAAGCAGATTGTTAGCGACTTAACCGTACTCCGCGGTCTGCTACACTCGGTCCTCGCTCTCGATTGTGTGTCTTTCCTACAACATCTCGATACCATTCATGCTGCTCATTCCCCCCAGCCCGGATCCACAAGGCAAACCCAGTCCCCCTGGCTATTCCTGGATGCTGCACATACTATCTTCGAAACCGCTAAGCGAAGAGTATATGCTAGCAATGCGAAAGCTAATGCGAAATCGACCGTTGACTCTCTCCGCCCAGTGTTAGAGGAGCAGCCAAAGTGGGCTCTACTCGCAGAAATTTTGGAAGAGATTGACAGAGATCTCTACTTCGAACCTCCAATGAGAGATGACTCTAATGGAACTATCCTCATTATGTGTTCTGATGAAGCGACGACTCGTCAGCTCCGAGATTATTTACAAATGATGCATGTCGAACCGAAGACCGAGAATGACACAAAACAGAATAAAGAGGCACACAAACCTTCTGCTGCGTTCATGATGCGGAGGAGACTTCGAAACTACTTGAATTGGAAGAGAGAGTTTGCACAGGTTAGCAATGCCCTGTTTACCGAGAACCAAAAGGCTCTCGAGGGAGCTGTCGACCCACGAATAGCTCAAGGCTCGTACAAAGGCAAGGCACCAGCGAACAAGAGACGTCGGGTCCGTGGCGGTGGTGCTACGGGCGCGGCACCTGGTAGGGCAGCAAACGGAAGTGTGGCACAGTACTTCGAGAAGCCCAATGAAGTTGCTGATCTTATGGATGAAATTCAGATTACTGGTGAAGAGGCAAACCAAAAGGCAGATATCACGGCTGATCCACTAGAGGATATGGATGATTATTTTGAGCTGTACGAAATGCAGGACCTTGTCGTGGTACACGCATATGATGGTGACCAGGACGAGCATGTTCTTGAAGAAGTGAAGCCTCGGTACATAATTATGTACGAACCAGATGCTGCATTCATACGCCGAATCGAAGTCTATAGATCATCACATAACGATAGAAACGTCAGGGTGTACTTCATGTTTTACGGCCAATCGGTTGAAGAGCAACGTTATCTCGCTACGGTCCGACGAGAGAAGGACTCGTTCACTAAACTCATAAAAGAACGCGCCAGCATGTCTGTCGTTATGACTACTGACTCCCACGGTGTCGAGGATCCTCAGGAGGCGTTCTTACGGACAGTCAACACTCGAATAGCCGGTGGGGGTCGATTAGCAGCTACAGCAGAGCCTCCGAGGGTCGTCGTAGATGTCCGAGAGTTCCGCTCGTCGCTCCCATCTCTTCTTCACGGGCGTAACATGATTATAGTGCCCTGCATGCTCACGGTCGGAGATTATATTCTCTCACCAACCATCTGCGTCGAACGTAAGTCGATTAGTGATCTAATCGGTTCGTTTAAAGACGGAAGACTCTACAGCCAAGCCGAGACGATGTTTCAACATTACAAGAACCCGATGCTCCTAATCGAGTTCGACCAGAACAAATCGTTCACGCTAGAGCCATTCGCAGACTTGTCGGGCAATCTGAAGTCGGTTAACCCTAATGAGGTGCCGTCAGATATCCAGTCCAAAATCGTGTTACTCACTCTCGCTTTCCCAAGACTGCGAATCATCTGGAGCAGTAGCCCATATCAAACGGCTGAGATCTTTGAGGGACTGAAGACGCAGCAAGAAGAGCCAGATCCCGTAGCTGCAGTCCGGGCAGGTTTAGATAAGGATATGAAGGCGGAGGATCAAGTGTTCAACCTTGAACCTCACGAGATGCTAGGTGTGGTACCAGGTGTCAACCCAAAGAACTTGAAGAACCTAACGTTAAAAGCGGAAAACGTTCGTGAGGTGGCTAACATGACCGAAGCCGAACTTCAACCACTTATCGGAACAGAATCTGCGAGACAAGTGTACAGGTTCTTCAATCGGAATTTAATTGATATAGACGACTAAGTCTATACCCCAAGTTGATAAATCAGATAGAGCTGCAAGTTTAGAAGGTTCCATATTAGGTAGCATATCACAATCGAAATCGCCAAGTATGGTGAAAGTTTAGTAGGTAGTGATTTGAAATGTCTATTGTTTTCCTATGTACGAGGTTGCCAATAAGAATTCCACCCACCCCATCTCCGCGTAAAGAACAAAAACGTCAAGGTGATGATGAAGTACTCAAGAAAAAATAAAGGGGTATCGTAATGCTCATCCGATCGTGATAACATGATATGACAGTTGGAAAGTCCCGTCTCTCTCTCTCTCTCTCTCTCTCTCTCTCACGCGCAACCTTTTTCTTTATATGTAGCGATATCGCCTCCTCTAGATGCGACTCGCGGTGGTGGCGTGGCGACGGCGTCCCCAGCCGCGGCGGGTGCCGGTCGTCGTACCGGTGGACATGCCGCCCGTCCTGGCGCGGCGGTGGTGGCCGCCGCAGTACCCGCAGGTCAGGAAGCCGACGACGATGCCGAAGAAGGACACGATGCCGCTGATGATGGCGTGCAGGATGTTGCCGATGCCCGAGACGATGGCCATGATGACGTTTCCGATGGTGCGGAAGATGGACTCGACCTAGTAGGTTGGGGGTTACGTTAGTTTATTCTGTCTGGAGCCATAACGGTAACGGATGGTGAAGTGGAACTTACGCAAGATACTACGGCACCCATGATGACGGTTTAGGTTGATATGATATGATAGGTTGGGTTGTGTAAGAGGTATGTATATAGTTCAGGTACGTGTCAGGCTAAGTTTTGTTTTGGAGACTTTGTCTGTGGATGTAATAGTTCGTAGTAGTATATGAACTCTGAACCTAGTCGCAGTTGCGAAAGGGGGAGTCACGACTTATATACGAGCTGGGTCACATATGTAGGTACGTATGAGCAAACTTGGGCATCGAATTTTGAGAAGCGACTACAGCAATGTTAGGTCATAGAGTTGCAGGTTGCCATAATGTTACAGGGGCAATACCAGATGGTAGGTTATCGGGTTCACGGCACGATATCTGCTACCAGGTAGTAGGCATCTACATACCTAGACATAGGAGGTAGTTAGAGTGTAAAGAAAGGAATTGACGTCACAAAACAAACAACATTGGATTGTAGGGATAGCCCCGCTCGTCATCGTGATCCAAACTGTGGTAAGTCATAAGAACCACAGCAACCCTAGATCTAGATGCTCAGGGATTTGGTATGCCGGACATGTAGGACATGTACATAGTAAACGGCGAGTAAAAAGTGATGCCGTCATAGATATGTGGCTTGCCTTCGATATCCTTCCTGAATAGGAAATTGAAACGCCACAGAAGCGGGGGGTTACTGTCAATTCTGTCATTGATGAGGCTTGACGTACTTAGGTTGTATCGAATTTGTTCTTAGAGTCCCCTTGTTCCAACGGTCAAAAGCCAAACAAAACCTGTTTGTGTTCTTCAAGAAAAGAAGAGCATGGCTCGACACGCGGGATGACGTACTTTTGGTAAGATGCGGTTAATGTGATCTAAACCCCTTACTTGAATCTATTCCGACTCCGAACCAATAAACGAGAATTATTCTAGGCCATTTTCATGAACAAGCTGAATTAGTCGATCCTCGTAGATCCTCGTATTGGTGTCTCCCACACCCAACGTCGTCATCGTAGGTATTATGTGCTCAGGGGATCATGCATCTGAGCTTCCTGGCTTTTAACACTTGCGCTAATATCCAAAGACCTTGAGGCTAACGAGATTCACTAACTCCGCAAGCCAAATCTTATATTAGAATAGTCAATCAATAACAGGCTTGATCCCTTCCTACCCCTCCACCCCCCCCCCCCCCCCCGTTGAGTCCAATCTATAGAAAACGCCCCAGTAAACCATGAAAAAATATATATGACAGAACATCTCCCCCTAATGTAGCAATCACTTTTGATTTTTTCTTCTCTCTCATCCATGCTTTGCCGCGCAGGTAGCTTCACCCCCCATCTCCCCCCAGGAGGTCGGGCAAGTCGCTACCTCCCCTAAGGGTGCGGTCTCCCGCTCTGACGGGATGAAACTGAGTTGCAGGTAACCCTCCTCCTTTCATGCAGACGAGCAAACTTGCATCCCGTCGACCACGGTCACCGGTCAACCTCGTGTAGCCGCAGTTGGTGCGCCACCTCGATTGACAATCTATTGTCTCGAGATAGGTCGCTCGCTCGCTGGCCACGCCGTGCTGTTGCTTGACGTGAATGATGAGAAGAAATACCGCTCGAGTGTGTTTTTAACATGGCTCTCGGTACCTTCGACTCTCTTCGCTCGCAATGGTCATGGCTTCCAACACTTACATGCCGACTACTTACTACTTACTTCACTACCTATCCGCGCTCGATGAGCAATTCCTAGTTGCACGCGACTCCTCCGATCGAGATGGCACAGAGAGCTTCTCGAAGTTGTATGTGCGTGCGCGCTGCTGCTGCTGATGACGACGATACGATCCATCGTGACGACAGCTCAGAAGTTTGCGAGCGCGAATTTTTTCGTCCACGAGCCTTCCCGATCCGAACCTCCGGTCCCCGGTGTGTTCTCGGTAGAAGACCCGCTGTTGATCGACTTTTTCACCGCCGACTCGCTTACCGCGATTTAGTCCGCCGTCTCGCCGGCTCCGCCCCTCTCCTTCGATCGAAGCCTTTAAGTACTATCTCTTGGAGACGTTGCCGCGTCCTAGTGACTGACGTCGCGTGGAGAAAAGAAGAGAAAGGGGTACGGTATGGTCTATTGATATTTTTTTCGGGTGTTCTCTTTCTGTGGGAGAGTATATCAACGCAAATCTGATACCGGTCCTGTTTTCCCTGTTTATCCATCGAAATGTTTTAACCCGCGATTGCAAATCGGGTTGGTATATCCGCAATCACGAGTAAGCGTTGTCGTCTATATGGATGTCAGACGGTATTGGGTCGACAATTCTCCGGCATACCTTCGCAGTACCCTTGGACTGCTTTCATTCTTTTGCATATCATACCTGGGTCATCCTCCAACATATGGAAGACTTCTGGCATCTGATGTTGACAATTTACACTGGCACATACACGAGATCAAGTTAACCTCCCTTAGAGGTGACGTCTCTAAAAACATCCGTCCTCGAAAATCCATATGCGTTGCCACTATGCCAGAGTCACACCATGTACACTCTTCAGCCCTCAATTCACCTATGGGAATATTTGGAAAGCTCAGCTTTTTGCAGGAGCTATGAAGGATTTTGGAATGTTGCCATACTTCACTGTTGATTCTTGCATAATAGTGTAGAGAATAAATAGTTTCCCCACATGCTGCTGTGTTTGAAGTAATTGACATGATTGAAATTGCTATGCCTAGAGCGTAGTCCCCTTTAAACCACCTTCAAGGTGTAGTCACAACTTCGACCAACATTTATCACACCAACTCTTAGAACTATATAGCAATTACAGGATGAGAGGACCAAACTGACGTTGAAGTAAATATGTATCGTGCTTACACGGCTAGAGAATATACTACAAAAATACTATCGTAAACATAAATTTTGAATACATAGAAAACGCTGAAAGCATGCATGATACTCAGATATAAAAGCCGCTATTAACAATTGGTCTAAATCACAATAAGGACCTACTCGAACAGAGCAGCCCAGCAGATCTTGGGGGACTCCCAGCTGCTTCGCCAAATTATCAGCATATTAAGCGAACTTCTCGAGTTCTTTCCGGCACGGTATTTTCAAAGAGACCTTCTTAACCAAGCCAGCTAGTTTAGAAAGTGCCTCGCGCACCACTCTTCTCATCGATATCGCGGTACCGTTCACGCTCCTTTCGGTCCTTCAATAGACAGGCGATAGACATAACTAAAACAGCATCGATACCGACCATGCCAAACATAGCGGTAAAAATGTTGTCCACGAATGTGTTTCCAAACGAAGTTAAGGGGGTAGAGCAACCTCGCATAAGGGCAGCAGCAGCAGGGCTGGGGCAAATCGCATCGGTGACGAAAGCTGGGGAAGTGCTGTTGTTGAAGCCGCAGCAGGAAAACTAAGAATTGAGTTAGATTGACCTGCCGAGTAATAAAACAGATGTAGTTACTTACGGCTGTTTGCATGAGATCTTGCACTTGAGGCGGTTGCGAAAGCCAGATCTCGAGGAATGCTTCCTTCATTCTTAATGTGAGAATCCATAAGTTCAAACCGATAGCCATGGTGAAGACGGCATCCACAACGACCATCCAAACAGCAACCTTCAACCAACTCCTGCTGTTCGTTGCCAGTGCGGGGAGCGTAGTTAAGAAGGTAACGAAAATGAAGACGGCATTAACAATTCCAGCTGTAAAAGGGAATCTCCGATAAAGTAAGTCTCGAGCTGCTTCGTTTCCTTCTGTCGGCGTATCGAAACACGTTTGCTGGACGATAACTGAAAATCCCAACATGATAGCCCCCATGGCCACGAACAAAATGTCCATGGTCACGAAGGTCGCAAGCACCTTGTTCACCATCTTGATCTGTTTGCGCGAAAGCGGACGTCCCTGCAATTTCGGTGGAAATCCACGGCTACCTAGTGTTCCCGTCTCCTAGTCCACGAGGTACTTTCTCTCTCCTTCTATTCCCCCCTAGTAAGCGTAATAGTATTTTCGAAGTGTTATCGACGACCGGCGTCTCGTATAGTAAATTTTAGGCTGTCGTAGTCGACGAACGAGTGTGTGGGTTGTTAAACAACAAAAAAGAGGCAAAAAGAATATAATAATATCAAAAATTCGGCTTCGAGGGTTAGCGCGACAGCACTTACACACCTTGACCAGCAATCCGAAAAGGGAGAATAGAATATAGCGAAATGAAGCGAAAGTAGTAATTATGAAAAGAGGAGTAAACGGAAAATAATACGAAGCTCAGCACGGACTATTGGAAGGTAGAAAGGGACTTAAGCGCCGGGCTCGTCAAAACAAAAAATCAAAAAGATCCAAACTAATACGCTACCGCTTTTTCTTGTCGGATGGCTCCGAAATGGGAGAAACGTGCGAAGCCAAGCAGCAGGGCAAGGGGATTAAGAATGAGATACAAAATGAAAAACCATACAATGGCCTACCCGAATTACTAGAGAATTGAACAAAAATACCATGCCACCAGGGCTTCGCCTACTACTATGTACTTTGCAAGTCTAGAAAGGAAGGAAATTAGAGACTAGAGCTCGAAGCAAAAGATGATGATATTTGATCTCTTACGCCTGGTGTTTTAGATTTGTAGAGAGTAGAAGGCCAACAGGGGGCAGCCCTGTATCAAAAGCCAGCGCACGTACCAAAGGATGGCTCGTGTCCGTGAAATACTTTCAACCTGTCACAAGATGAAATTGACTGCGGTCCAATCAGAAGGGAGATTTCGTAAACACCAGACGGACCAAGGAGAGAATCGAATGATAACAGTCAGAGACTCTGACAATACCTATCTCATGGCATTAATTTTATTACGCCAAGGTATACGTACGCAAAGGTATACGTACGCACTCCGTACACACATCTTAATCGTCTCTACGATATTACCTGGTTCTCTAAGTCCTTGGATTTAAAATAACTTGACGTCGTTATCAGAAATTTTCTTGTCTAAAGAAGTTCAAGACATGAACGTATATGAACTCTAGGTCTAAAAAAAAACATATAGATCTGATGCTTAATTCCACCCCATATCCGAGACCTGGAGACTGAGACTCCCTTGGGACATATACTTACACAAGAGACGGAATATAAATTTTGATTCGAAGGTCCTTCCGTCGTGATCCCTGCGTCTCGAGTTGATGATACCGCACTGCCGCACACCCTGTTGCACATCATCCGCATGTAACCCATACATTTCGATCAGATGTTGAGGATCGTCGAATATCATTTAGCCACAACTGGCAAGTTAAAATAGCAATCGTCTAGACGACATATGGTAGTCAAATTGAGACCTGTCTGCCGACCTTAGGTAAGTTAGGTAGGTAAGGGGGGAAACAATATTAATATTGATTTGTTTCTCACATTGGAGAAACACGCCGCGATCCTTCTCAGCTCAAAACTCTCAAAATGGGTTTACCTCTTGCCTATTACTAACATATATCTCCTGTTAATCAAGAAAATGTCTGCCTACCATATATAACTCTTTAGGTTGATGACGCGAGACACTGACTCGGATAGGGCGCACCCGCACCATTCTCACACGATTCTCCAACTTGTAGTGCTCCGATACCAACGGCGCTATCGCGCTCTCCGTGCCTAGTCTTGCCAAGACCGTTCGAAAATAGGCCACCGAGGCTTCCTCTCACACTATTAGCTTCTCATCATCGTGAAGAACAATGCAATACACGCTGCAGCACGAGACGGCGAGTTTGAAGGCAAGCGGAGCGGAGATTTGGTACCTATGGATGGTTGCAATGGCAATTAGCATACCGGAGCGGGTGGGAATGGCATCAGCCAGAAGCGGGAGCGGGAACCATTAGTGGCTCTCGGAAGACGACTCGATGCAACCCCATCCCGAAAACTCGGTACCTCGTACGGAGAGCACTGCATTAGGCGTGAGACCTCAGCTATGTAATAGGCTAAGACATTGGATTCCCAGTGTCTCTCATCAGAGTAAGAAAAAGACCACGCGGGTAATTACGAGCATGCTACGGCATGCCGTAGTATTCCCGGTGACGATACTCTGATGCTGGGGCGATCTTTTACTGCGACTTCTCCCGGTGCCGTGGTTCACGCTCTTCGACTATCACGAGACATCAGACTCAGAGAGTACCATCCAGATGTGAAGAGATGACCAATTGGTATTTATGCTACATCTTAGTGGCGCAGAGGAGTAACACTTATCGAATCGCCACAGCGCTTACACAGAGCATATTGAATACGATAATTTACAACGAGTGCCGCTTCGCCGAAAGTCTTTGGTAAAGGCCATGATTTTTCTAATATTTAGATGGGCCAGTGAGGTATTTTCTCCAAATTCGTCGGCCTGCAATGGCCGTTCACATAAGCAGTCTGGAACAATGTAACTTCTAGGGAAATCGTGGCCGTCGGTTCTCCATGAAGTGGTTTTTTGAGACCGCAGACATTGATCAAATCAATTTTAATAATCCTTGACTAATATATATTTGATCTTCACTTGATTTCGCATAGTACGGTAACGGCCTCGTACGGTCACCCAGTCAAAAGTTCCTACGGACAAAATATCGTCCATGAACATAGTCTTCCGATCACATCGATCACAATAATGGCTCCGGGGTAATAGATCGTATTTCTACAATATTAGTGATTGCCCTTTTTGGACTGTTTTTAACTACGGTCCGAGGTCCAAACTTACCACCTGAGCACTTTCACAATGATCGCGAACATTACATCGCTGGGCTTGGTACGCAGTAGGCTAACCACTACCTACTATGTAGCTCTGATCGTTCATTACGACCTTGAGGACATACAAGATAGTAGGAAGCCAAGCAAAGCATGGCAAGGGTAGTAAACCGCAGATCGGCCTTCTCCAATTTCTCATTAATCCTACGAAGCCACGCTACGTGCAAGGAGCTTTGAACCCCAACCTCTCGAGAAGATGGAGTGGCTTAATAAGTGGAACGATGATTTGCTTGGACCCTAACCTTGCACTTTGCTTTTTTTTCTCTCGTTTTTGGCAAGGCCCCAGCAAGTTCTGGGCAGCTGGGGCAAGATCGCGCCGAACCGCACAAAAAGGAAAAGTCGTTTGCTAACCCGCGGGGGGGCCATCACGAGCAATCTGGTTGCCTCGTGGGATATAGGAGGTATATTATGTATTAAAAAAAGCGCTTTTCCATTTCTTGATCAGCGAAAAAGGTATCAGTTCTCTAAACTGACGACATCTCAATCTCAATCCTTCTCCTGTCGATATATACCACAGTAGCCATACACCACATAGTAGTTGTAAGCGAATAGGGGTGGATATCAACCATATTCAGAAGAGCTTGGAAAACGTACCTAAATCAACCCATCAGCATAACATAATGTAGGTATCACTACTTAGCAATCTCTCATCTCGATAAACCCGAATTAAACGCCCGTCCTTGAATGGTCCGCATGTAATGGTACCTTTTCTTTTTTTCCCGCGATACTACTTCTATGGATTTCTCCTTCTATTTCTCTGGTTCCAGGGTCTGCTGCTCTATCCCTCGTCCATTGAATGGATAGAACCAATTCAGGATCGTATCATTACCCCCGCTTTTTTTCTATTTCAACGTTACGGTCCTAATGTTGAAGCTCCATAACGGGGCACATGGTGCAATCGCGTTATTAGAGACTAGCGAGGATGTTCGCGTTCTTCGAGCGGACCCCTACGAGATGACCTCCCAGATGACATCCTCCTAAGCCTCACGTTCACTTAGCGAGTTTGGGAGTAAACGGTCCTATAATGCGTACAATGCCTATGATGTAGGACCATTGTGCACATGGTGTTGGAAGAGTCATTCCATAGGTATAGGTAAAACTAAGGCGCAAGGCACCCACCTCTGTTAAAAATAATAAAACAAACAAAATGAATGGCATCTCATCCTCGGCTTTTTTTTTGGGTTGCATTTTCGAGGACACAATTAGGTCTGTGCAAGACATACATAAAAATGCCTGGGTGCTCTGGATGCATCGGTATAATGTTAAGTCAGGCTAGCGACGCTACAAGAGATGAACCAATCATTGCGACGCCGGCTTTAAGAGCGATAACTCTCCGAATGTGCTAGTGCCTTGTTGTTGCTCATCACAGTTTTGTTTATCCGTCATTGTCTTGGAGTCAATGTCATCTTCAAAGAATGGAATAATGAAATTCAATTCTAAAGATAGTCATGATGGCATTTAAATTTATTATTATTATTATTTTAAAAAAAGACCAAGACTTTACATACCCTTTACCTTACCTATTTGGATAACTATTAACATGCGGACTTAATAAAGATGAAAACGTCGAGACACTTCCATCCATCCACTACCAGCGAGCTGGATTGGATTCCCGATATGGTCAACTCCAAAATGGTCGAACGGCCTTCATTTCATTGGAACGGAGGCGAGATGTGACTTTGGACCCCTGCTCGCCCCTCAATGCATGGGGGAGTTGTGCCCGCATTACTCCTACAAAGAGAACCATCCATCAGATCCGTGAGGCGTTGCACTGTGCGAGTCTCAGAAGCGATGAGGGTGGAGATATTGCCAGGTGGCAGAGTCGAGTACGTATAGTACAATACAGCTGCGCGAGCTATTCTTAAGTTAAGTAGGTATGTACTGTATTAGAATAGAGGTAGACATTCCACGCGGCGTTAACGACAAAACCCCCATTAGAATTCTTCGGAGACAACATACAACATTCTCACCACTGACCTCTAGAGGGACAACTCCCGAAGGCTTAAAGGCCTAAGGCTTAGGGCTTAGTGTAAGACGTCTCCTCTCTCTCTAATCAGAACCGCGTGGACTACTTTTGGTTACGCAGAGTAGTACAACGACAGGAATAAGGCCATCCACTTATTTTAGGCATGCCTCTTATAATAATATGTGTGTGCTAAGACAGCCGTGCTGCGCTATGCTGCCTTTTCCTGACCCATAAGCACTAGGAGCCTGTCAAAATTGCGGTTCGGCTGTCAACTTTGCTGTCAGGGTCCCCTACTACTATCAAGTGTCGGTTACGTAGAAGCGGTCAGCGGGCTCCAGCTTTGCTGACTGTCTTTTACCACTAATATTCGACTACAGAGTTTCGCTACTATGTAGACTATGTAAACCTGCAGCAATATCTAGTGATGAAACCCATGTTTTCCTTTTTTCTTTTTTCTTTTCTTTGCCTTATTTGATTTTATTACATATTAGTACGTATTCTTATTATGTGTATCGCATAGCATGTATGCATGCTAATCCCCAGCGGGCTGTCGGTCGGACTGCTGTGCCGCTGACGCAGATTTAAAACTAGCAGGCTTATGGGGGGATCCTGGAGGCGTCGGATTCATGTGGTTCTTACAGGTGGAATTGCGCCCATAGATGACAGATTCACGAACATTCGTAATCAGGCGCCATTCAGGGGGCCTGCGCGTGGCGTGTCTAACATCAGTGGATGATGGAATTCTTGCGGAGCTATGGTTAATGCGGTACGACATGCGTCGAGTATGGCAGAAGACTTCTTATTTTTCTTTTCTTTTTTCCCCCTTTAACATGATCCTTGACTCGCACTGTCTTAAGAACCAGTATTTAACCCACCAGGTAGAAAGTATGTACTAATAAC